GTTATGATTGGTGAAGTCGAGCAATATTGTTAGTCTTGATAGAGATATAAGTCAGTGCCTTTTCATAAGTATATTCTCAATAAAAAAGTTGACCCTATGGCATCAGTTGCGAGTTAGCTCTGATTCTGTATTGACTAAAGTCTTTATTTTAATCACATATTAGCATCAGAGCAAGATTCGCGCGAAAAGTTCAGATAAAAACCAATGAAACACCATAGACAACCGTGAAAAGTATCTTCTGCGTCAGAAGAACATGACTGGTATGAAAAAGTAAATTGACAATTCACTGTATTGTACAAAAAGCATTTGAATGAAACTACTTCATATTGATTCGGTATTATAGAAGTGTCCTCAAAAGTTTCGATATGTTTGTTGGAAAACATGTTGTTTTTAGGAGACAACACTGTAGACCAAGCTCTGCACTTACACTGGTTCTGGAAAATTTTGAAAAACTTACAAGATAATCGAAACAATCAGAATTAGAGTTCTGCAAGTTCATTCTTAGTTCTAATTGGTTCCAATAATTACATATTACCTATCTGGTGTTCGGTGACTTTAACAGTTCTCTGATCGTAACGTTTTTCGTACGCTTTTATTGAAGCTATAAATCATAGAACCGATTATTTCATGTACAAAATATACATACATGTGCAAGATCACTTGTAACTATTATTCTCTGAAAATTATTCTGTCTCACTGAAGTAACGAAAAACCACTGATTAGCTCATCGTCTTCACTTTGTTGCTCATCATCAGTAGAAAACAGTACATTTGAATTTTCTTTTCGCCTTTTCGAAACATTGAACGATTTTTCGCGAAAAAGACTCTTGAGTAATACAAAATATTTTTCCGGATGAACATCAACTTGTTCATCTAAAAAATACCAACATAATGTCCGATCATGCAAGAGTTCAATACTAAGAAAGTAACACGATGACTACATCTTTCATACTCTGTACTTCAATGCATGTACACCGATTGGCGACGATGCTCTTCCATATCGAAAACATGCATATGAAATATCGTATTAGATGCGAGAATTGTTAAAACTTTCATGACGATAGCTACTATTGCTAGACAGCGATAGCATTCTATTACGAAGATTCTAGTATGCCATCATCATCGTTGTCAAGTTGAGTGTGAGTGGGTGTGAAGTGTGAATGTTGTTGTGGAAGAAGATATACGCCGGGTTTAGTATAGGTGTGGATGCAAATGCCACTAAAAAGAAGATCCTTACTTGCGTATACACTCATTGAGATTCATATCGACAGCCGCATACCAAGGGCCACCCATCCAGAAAATAGTAGAGACGGCAAAAATAGATCAACACAAATTCAAAATTATTGTGATTTAATCCGCAACTTTTCATGTTCAGACGATGTCTACGGCTTTCTCGATGACAGCAGCAAGTTAGATGCTAATGTGATGGATTTGATTGTGTTCAATGTTGATAATCGTGTCATCAGTGCTGGGATCATCGATAAGATCTTAATAAATTTTTGCACAGCTCCCACTCATTCCAGTGCAAAAATTAAAATATACACTATTCGATCAATACTGAGCGATAGCGAGCATTTTTCCGTGCAAGAACAGATAGAATCATTCATCACCAATCTCAAACTATCTGTTGGAATTCAGAAATTTGAAGTTAAACCGTTCAAAATACAGGAAGGTGATTATGTTGGATTCAAGTTTACCGAAAATGCTGGTGGTCCATTCACTATTGAGCGTACCAGCTATTATGTTGAACACAATGTTGACCAGAATATAGAAATAGAAGAAATAATGCATTTTACTCCGTGTATCAGTCATGGCATCTCGGCGACCTTTACTATGAATCATGATGAAAACAGAGACGAACCGATTGGGAAGAGTAATGATTTTCGTTCATATATGGAGATGAATAAGATGAACAACGAGGAAAACAGCGCACCAGCAACATCGAGCCATGCTTGGCTGACAACACCATCTGACGATAGCAAACAGTTGATTGTAGATAAAAGACGAAGGTCATCTAATACCGTGTCATCTAAACAAGGTCTCAACAGTAAGAGAATGATTCTAATGACTCTTAAGCACTTCTTTTGTCATTTCTTTTGTTAGATCTGACTCAATTTCAACAGCGTGACAATATGTTACGTGAAAGCAGCATTGCCCAAGATTACTGGCAGTTTCACATAGAAAACATCATGAGAGAAGAACGAGACGAGTCCAGTCGTGAGAGAAAAGCTCGATTCAAGCACACATACGAGTCATTTAAATTGCAGAAGCAACAAGAAAAACTCATCAAACTGCTCGAAACGACTAATAATAGCAGCCAAGATACATTACGAATGAATAATTATGGCTCATCGTATGATAATAATGCTACGCTATGAACGTGTCATTAAACTCTTTAAGTCAATCTCGCATCTTTATCACAATTTTCTTTCTGAATGCCAAACCTTATCCCGTGAAGCCATCGTAACTTTCTTCACTTTTTTTTGTCATAGATTATTATTTTCATGACAGAGATCCCACTAACAGAATATTCTTTGAAGCATATTTTGATGTACTATAATATCTTTTATTAAAGTAAAGATCGGCGTCCATCTTTCTAACAGATTTCTACTCTTTCATGAGCCTAATACAAGCGAATTTGTCTTTTCAAAAGTCATTTACACCTACGTATTTGTACTCAACAAATGCACTATTTCCAATCGACATCTTCTTTATATCAATGCATTTTTTGTGGATCTCCTCCTTCTAAATCTATATCACTTTTGATGAATAAGTCTTCATAGAACGTACTTCTCATCGTATTTTTTATTCGGTCATTTGCAACATACATTAGCTAGTTTTGGTCTCTGCGCTCCTGCCAAGGGGAACGAACTGATTTCAATAATTGAAATCAATTTGAAATCCTTCGAAATCATTTGAAATCAAAAAATCAGTTTGTTTCCCCTTGACTACCAACTTAAAAAGACATCTGAAAATTCAAAATCGACAGCCGATAATGCACTCCAAAATACTGTATCAACAATTACAGCGAATACAATGGCAACAGCAAAAACAACATTAATAACAACATCGAAACAATTTGCCACTTCATTAACTCCAGATAGAATTCGTGATAAAATTGGCGAAATGGAAAACTGAATGTTAAATTATTTGCGACATTGCATTGAACACATCAAAAGGTGTGGGTGTGGGCCAAGCAAATACTCAAACCTATATCCGCACCTACACCCTGAAATAAGCCTTATATTTGTTCTCAACTTGATTGAGTTGACTGGGCGATAATTACAGTCAAGATCACTTCACGATAAATCTCATCATTGATTTTGGGGCACGTGGTGCTAGAATAGCACATTGCCGCCGAAAATATGTTATTAGCGCTAACTTTACATTTTTCTTCCACATTCGGCTATGACGTTACAAAACTTATTAAGCACACCTGTTTGACATGTAGAAAATCTTGGAAAATGGAATCTTCATGCCGAGAATGTCGACAGCACACAGGAGGAGTTTGTTACTTAACAACAAAATTCTGAATATTGTCGAAAATTTTTGCAATAACTTGATCGAAACGATCAACGATTTACGTTGGCAACTCAACCCTGAATCATTATCGTATGTAAATGAAAGTGATATCCTTGGCAGCAATCTCTACAAGTATTTTCCAAACCAATACGGTATTTTTCGCAGAACATGTAAGACAATAGAAAACGCCCATATAGTTGAAAAAGGGTTCACTGCACGTATAAGCGATACCAGTATTTTCGCCCATCGACAAACTGCTAATCCTCATTTTATGGCGATGTCACTCGTGAAACTGTCATCTGGTCGTTATTTAATTGATCGATTGCATCCATTTCATCCACCTAGTTCGTTTAAAAGCGAGAGAAAAGATAGTGGCGTAATCGCTATGGAATTAGAACTCGATATAGAATAAAGCTCTCTATATCCATAAATAAAAAACTGTATCATGACATTTTCTCTAGTTGTTATAGAACGAAAGACGTAAGTNGGGTGTGGGTGGGGGTGTGGGTGGGGGGGTGGGGTGGGTGTGGGTGTGGTTCTTTTCTGAGTTCACCGCCACCCACATCCACCCACACTCACACCCACACCCAGACCCGCACCCACACCCACACCCCAAACAGAGTAATGTTAAATGTTTTTCTCTCTTTGCTCTAAATCTCAAAATATTTCCATGGATACAAGCTCTTTTGCCTGATGTCTGATTATATCATATTTCTGGCAGCATTAAATTTGAAATTACTTACAGCAGTAAACTAGGAACAGTTTGTATAACATAGTTGTCAATCTATTACGATTTAGAGTGCAGCTCAAAATCGAAACACATTCAAATGATCTATTGGTTGTACATTGCGTGTCAAGAAATAGTCCGATCTGAAAAGTTTTGTCTAATTTCTTCAAAGGAACTTTCATTAAAGCTATACTGACATCAAAGCAAATCATTCTATGAAAAAATATATTATTTACGAGTTTCAACAAGTATCCACTCAAGATTAATTGTAAGTCTATTCACATTTATCAAAATAGGGAATTTTCAAGTTTAAAGCCTATGAAATATGCCAACTTTTCTCTGTAAACGTAGTGAAACTGGTGTAGATACAGGTATATCGGAAACAAAAATCCACACTTGTGTTTGAAAATATTGAGATCCATATCGATAGCTACACACCCACAACTACCCAACCTCAGAAGAGTAGAGAAGGCAACAATAGATTAAGAGAATTTTAAAATTATTTTGGTTTAATCCTCATCTTTTCATGTTCAGATGGTGTCTACGCTCTTCTTGATGACAGCAGCAAATTGGATGCTAATGTAATGAATTTGATAGTGTTCAATGTTGATTATCGTGTCATCCGTACTGGCACCATTGATAAGATCTTAATAAATTTTTGCACGGCTCCTACTAATTCCAATGCAAAAATTAAAGTATACATTATCAGACCAATATTGAGTGGTAGTGAGAATTTTTCTGTGCAAGAACAAATGGAATCATTCATCACAAATCTTAGACTATCTGCTGGTATTCACAAATGTGAAATTAAACCCTTCAAAGTAAACGAAGGTGATTACGTTGGATTCAAGTTTACCGAAAATGCTGGTGGTCCATTCAGCATTGAACGTGCCAGCTATTATGTTGAACATCATGTTGATGAGAATATAGAAATAGAAGAAATAATGCATTTTACTCCATGTACCAATCATGGCATCACAGTGACCTTTACTGTGAATCATAACGAAAAAAGAGACAAACCAATTGAGAAGAATAATTTTGTTCGTTCGAATATGGAGATGAATAAAATAAACAATGAGGAAAAGGGAGCAACAGCAACTTCTATCCATGATTACCTTTCAACACCATCCGACGATAACAAACCATTGATTACAGATAAAAGGCAAAGATTATCTATTGCCGTTTCATTTAGACAAGATCTTACTAGTAAGAGAACCATTTCGATAACTCTTAAATACTTCTTTTGTCATTCGTTTTGTTAGATCTGACTCCATTCCAGCAGCGTGATAACATGTTACGTGAAAACACCATTACTCAAGACTATTGGCAAGTTCTTATAGAGAAAATTATGAGAGAAGAACGAGACGAGCCAAATCGCGAGAAAAAAGTTCGATTCAAACACGAACATGGTTCAGTTAAATTGCAGAAACAACAAGAAAAACTCATCGAGCTACTTGAAAAGTCTATTAATAAAAATCAAGATATGTCACAAAGGGATAGTTTTAACTCATCGTATGATAATTATTCTGTGTCGTGAACGTACCATTCAATTCTTCAAGTCAATCTCTCTTCTTTATCGAGATCCTGTGAAGGCATCATGACTTTCTTCATTTTTTTTTCGCACCTTGTTATTTTTTTAACAGTAATCCCTCTAACAGAGTATTCTTTGAAACATGTTTTGATATTAATGTAAAATTTTTTTTATTAAAGTAAACAACCATTGTCTATCGTTCTAAGATATTTCACACTCTTGCATGAAAATAATATAAGCGCATTCGTCTTTTCAAAAATCGTTTACATCTAGAATGTGGGTTGTTCTTCTTCAACTTCCACGTCCAAACCCATACTCATCATTCTAGAAAAGATATAATACACAAAAAGAAAAATTGCTTATATAAACAGAGTTTCAATTAAAGAATGAGAAGCAATGAGAATTGGACATAGAAAGCCTTTCTTTACACCGGAAAATTATAACCTTGAGACTGAACTTCTATTCTGTGAGGAAGTTTATGCATTTGAGTCGTGATTATAGTTTTGTATTGGTATTTCTACTATGTGAAATTCCTCAAGTCTTCAATCATAATTTAATTATACAATCATTGACATGCTAATATATAACTGTACAATGACGAATAAAGAAACAGGCGATGAATGTATTGAAATTCAGTTCAATATTCTTCGATGGAAGTTCTTCAGTCTAGAATTTCGTGAAAGATCGATAAGTTATTGTACTTGACTTTGAAATCAAGATCATAAATAATACGGTTTTCATTTCTTATATTTTACTTCTGTTGTTAGAAATTATAAATTTATTTTATATTCTTCCTTCATATATATATCTATATATATATATGATCTAAATAACAATCATAATAGTAATATATATTTGGCTAATTCCATAGAAATTCAACCACAAAAAACAAATTATATTTAGAAAATTCTCTTTTCTATCAAGTTTTGTAGAGCTTTTTTCACTGATCATTCTAGTAGAAAAGCTTTCTGAATTTGATGAAGCTATGACAATGTTATACTCATAATACTAAAAACTATAAAATAGATTTTAAAATCATTTCTTCTAACGAATAAATATGAAAAACTTGATTCGCACGTCTCAATGTGGCGTAATAGACTTTTTAGAGGAAAGTTTCCTCTACAACTTGTAGTTAGTTTCTTATTTACATACGAATAGTATGAATACAATTCGATAGAACATTACATACAATATTTATGATAAAAACAGAAGATATCATATATTTTTCATACGAATATCGTAAACAATATTCTACCGAGATTTATTCATACTATTCGAATGCAAATGAGAAATCGACTACAGGGTCTTGTAGAGCAAACCTTTCTCTAAAAAAACCCATTATGTCAGATTTCTTCAGAATATAGCAATTTTGAGATATACGAATCGGTTTTTCATAAATATTTATCAGAAAACATAATTTTTAAATCTACATTACAGTGTTTAGTACTTAAACTAGAAAATTGTTATTTCTCAATAAAATTCAAATGTTTTTTTCTTTTTGGTTGAGAATCTAGGTGTAGTTTGGGAGAAGCACTCTATCTATATCCATATCGTTACTTCTTCTTTTTCCTGTGTATTATGTATCGAGTCATTGATGTGAAAGCATTCGGTCATGATACAGCTAGATATTCCGACCTCATGACCGATAGTAGCTGCCTACTTACTCTGACCTCGATTCATCCTTTCTTCTGTGCTCACTTTTCTTTTCTTCTTGTTCGCTCTCTCGTATATAAGATCGTATTCTGTGTAAAGCGGACACAATTGGAGTGATACAGTAGCGTAGTGAACATCGTACATCAACGATAGTGGTAGCACTACTCTTCTAGTTTCTCAATGTTAATTAACAATAAAATAAATACTACAGTAGTAACGCAACATTCTATCCCTTATTTTCGTGAGAAGAAGTTGTATGCCTCTGACAGAATCGTAATCGCTTTTTTTCCCAGTTTTTTAATTACTTTATGTCATAGGTTCAAAATAGAAGAGAATATAGATAATAGTACTCAATAACGATTACAATCATTTTACACCATGATGAAGACTATTCGTATGAAACCCTATTCGATGAATCATTATTTTGTTTACTCTTTGCCTTCCACTACTGTTTTTTCCTGTGATTGTAACGTTTGGTTTCAATCTCATATTTAATACTAATCAACGTTGGATTTTTTTTTGTAATTTTTCTTCTTTAAATACTGTATATTTTATCAAAATTGTCACTAATTTCTTGTCCAAATACAATGGCTCTGTCTTTCACGCCACAAAATACGAAACTTGCTGAGACAAAACGAATTATGAGGTATGTATAAATTGTTAATGAATGTGTTTGTTATTCGAGTTTGCATATGTCTGACATTTTTAGAGACTTAAAAGATCTTAACAAAGTTCGAGTACTCGGACTCGGTGATTATTGTCTTGATGAGTCAAATCCTTTTCTTTTACATTGTAACGCATGCATTTAAGCAGACTTTCGACTGATGTATGATCATAATCGATTTGTTATTTAGGTATTGATTAACGATTGACCCTATCGTGGAATTATGATACATTTAATTCTTCATATTTCAGAAGATTATCCTTTGACAGATTCAGCCGGAAATGTAGCACCTGGCTTAGAGTTCAATTCTAGGCATCATGCTCATATTCATGAAGATCACAAGTCAAGCCATACTAAATCTCATGCTTGATAACAAACTTTTTACCTTGCTTTTCCACTTTCAGAAATGGACATGCTTTATGCAATGATTTACCGACGAACTATGGGTTTTATTTCCGTGACATCGACGAAGGTACTATCAAACAGGTCACTGGTTGTAGGTAACTAGACAGCATTTATGCGTAGTCTATTCAGTATTTTCACTTTTTTCATACTCTTAGTCCTGGCTACACTTTATCAACTGCCCTTCTTCAAATCATTACATTTTTCACAGATCCTGATTTAAGACTTACACCCTCTTCAGAGAGCATTTATCATCTCCACCATATAGTGAAAAATTTCAGATGTAAAACATATGGTTATTCTTATGCTGAACCAAATCCAGCTGTAGTCAGCTACACTGCAACAATTTCAGATAAACAACAAGCAAAAGAAAAAACTATGCCGAAGAAAGAAGACGAGCGATTGAAATCGAAATACGAACGCTTAATATTACAACGTAAGTTGGTGGAAAAATTAGCGTGCAGTATGACAAAACAAAATGTTATTGAAGATAATATTTATTTGGGCTCTCTGTTATTAATCAAGCGTGATAGACATGGTCGTTTATGGTCTGGTATCATTGTGGAACTAGGGGTGTGGGTGTTCTCTTCCTTTACCCACACCCATGGATGAACAATCACAAGGCAAACTATTTCAAGTATATAAAGATAATCTCGGCTTTTGGACGAAACTTGGCTATGGTGCAATCGAAATTCTTGATGACCTTGGAGGGGCGACAACTAGAGTCGTTTTAATAGAAGAAGAAAGCAACATTTACAAACAGGTAAAAAGCTAAAATTGTATGTCAAAAGCTGCAGTACCAGTCATGAAAAAGATCATAGACAAATACTTTCCATCTACTTAACTCAATAGTGTTAACATTTTGATTTATTAAATCGTTCTTTGTGAAAAACAAGAATCTATTTTCACATAGCTAATAGAATAAGAGTGAAATTTAAAAAAACAAGGATGTGAGTGTGTCAAAACAAAACTACGGCCAGGTTTGACTTCTCTCTTGGACTTCTAAGTGTGTGGGATCATAGTTTCAAGTAGAAAGGAACCACGTATTATTACATATTAACTCGAGTATTAATGATATTGGTGTTCCTGTGGGTATGGGTAGGTGGTGGTTGTGGGTAAGAGATTACAGGAATTTTGGCCCACGATCCGGGCGAACTTATTGCCCCCTGTCATAGAAAAAAAAACGTTTTAATGAGTTGCCAGATATGATAATGCTGAGCAGGATGATGTACCGTGGGTNTTATTATTATTATTCATTTGTTCAATTCGAATTGTTAATTCAATTTGAATTTTTGTCGTATTTCCAGATCGTTGTGAATTTGAAGAAGTTAATTGAACAGCATTAATACCCGGACGTAGATAAGCTATGATCGACGATAGTTGTTGATCAATAAATTCTTGTTTGAGATAACCATCAATTGTAAGACGAAAAATAAGTCGTTCGAGATCTATGATCATAGAAGAATATTAAAAAACAAAATCAGTCTAACATCGAATACTTGCGGCTTGATCTCTACAAGTATACTATTGATATTTCTGATTGTTACTAGAAAATATCGTAAGGATATACCAAAGTAGCAAGCGTATGGTATGATCGAATTCCGTTTTTTTCGTCGAACCTTTCGTGGGACGTTCTAGACTGTTGCGAACCCTTCAATTCTTTTATAGGATTGTTAAGAACAGAAAGATTAATTCATTTTTTCCTACAACCACATGCTTGAGATGGCATCTGCAGCCAAAAAATACTTTCATTTTTGTTAATTAAGATTATCAAATGTCTGAATTCTAGGAGATAACTTGTCTCCTACCCAGTCAGACAAAAATTTTGAAAAACGCATTTAAACGCGCAATCGGGAACCGCGACTGTGATCCATTGACGATTATTAAAAGAAACGCACGAAAATGCATTTATTGGCGTTTTTTGTAACTTTATGGCCGTTAAAACGGCGAAAATTCCAGTTTTTCAGCGTTAAAACGCACTGTTGTTCCAGAACTTAAAAACAATACGTTTTCACACTCAAAAATTGGAGTTTTCGCCGTTTTAACNCATAAATACAAAAACGTTTCACACCCAACAACCGGCCGTCTCGACGTTTTACCGCCCATAAAGTTACAAAAAAACGCCAATAAACGTGTTTTCGTGCGTTTTTTAATGAGCGCTAATGGATTACAATCGTGGTTCCCGATTGTGCGTTTAAACGCGTTTTTCAAAATTTTTGTCTTACTGGGTACTAGGCTGTTTTTCAACATTCTAGAACTTGTTTGATCTCACTAGACTTTAACCGAACACCAATGATCACATCAATCTCTTTTAGAGAGGCAATTTAAAACTTCGAGACAGCGAATGTCTATATTTCAGAGGCACAGACACATAGCTCGTGATATGACAATGACAATCTTCGTAGGAGCACTGTCTCACTCAGCCCCTACAGAAATCAGGGTGTGGGTGTGGGTGTGTGGGGTGTGGGATGTGAGTGTGTGAGGCGTGGGTTTGTTGTTCTTAATTCGACCTACATCCACACCCACACCCAGTAGTAACTCCAGACAGGCATCTATGAAATCAAGTACTTATGAACAAAGTACTGGTGATTTCAACAGGAAATTGTCTCAAACTTCAGGTGGCTATAGAAGAAGTAAGCCATCAGAAACAAATGAAAGTAGAGATAAAAGAACTGACTATAATGAACAAGCTAAGTCGTCTGCAAATCGAACTCTTAATAGTGCTCGTGACGATAAATCGATATAATAAAAAGTTTGAATAATTTACTAAGCTTCTATCATCAAAGATTTATCTCTTATTTTCTATTTAGGTGCTGCTAATAGAGTATCTCAACCGGCTACAAATACAGTAGGTGTCTTTAAGGATGAATTTATTTATTGAAAGATATCGTATTGTTCGGTAGAAACAAGTTTTTCCGTCAGGTTCAAAACCTTCAACTTCTGCTTCTATTGATAAAAGTGGTGATACAATCGATACATTTAACGATATTGCTGACAGAATTGCCAAACAAATGAAACACAGCTTTGGAAGTTATTAGTTTATATAATTCATTTATTTACTGTTATTCTTAATTGTAGTAAAAAAGTACAACTATGATCTTCACTATTTGTTTTTGTCTTATGTCAATATTTGATTTTTGAAAACTATGTAATCAAGCAATGCTTAGATATAACCTGTCATTGCTTCGCACTTTTATTTATATTCTTTTTTGATTTCATTTATTTGTATTTATTTACGCGATTCATTCGTTGTTAGAAGGAAGCTAAAAGACAATATATGCAAATTGTAATCCTTCATACTCTTCATAACGATTCGAGCAGAGTTGGTGATGAAACTATTGATATATTTGATAGATGGAGTCTTGTGGCCGTTTCAGGGCGAACAACTTTACAAGATTCTATTTGGGCCTTTTCGAAAATCTTTTGTAGTTGAACAGAACAAAAACTCTTAGAGAGCTTGAAAATATCTCGTTTCGTACAGAATGATTTTCACTGTTATTTCGTATGATTTTTGTTGAAATAAAAAAAAGTTTTCTTCAAAAAGTCCAACTTTTATAGAGTTTACCACAAGAAGTGTTTCTTTATTTATTTCGGCTGTTTTTAAAAATAATGATTCCACTGAGAAAGTGGAGCAGATAAAGAGTTTACTCAGCTCCGGATTCAAATTCAAGAAAAATTCACCCTCAGCTTTCTACATTAATTCTGTAGAAGGTAATTTGTATCATTTCGTTTATATAAATAAAACTAATATTATTTGGTACAGCTGAAATCTAGAATGTTACAGTATGTTTGACAATTTTTGTATACCAATCACTTGTATAATATTTTTTTTCTATAGACATAATTAAAATCATGTTTTATGCTAAAATAATCAATAGAGAAGATGTATTGACAAAAAATGGATCTAAAACCTAACCAGCAATCACCCCATTACATCAGAATGATTCAACAATGATTCATATTTCTCGGAAGTCCCTCGCTCCAATCGAAATGTTTCAATTTGTGTTCGAATGTCGCCGAACTCATTTCCACACCCGCATTCAAATCCATTTCAATTGAAGAAAAAATGGATCGAAACTATCTAAACAAGACGCCAGCATTTCTTCTTCGGTTGATGCCCGAATCGATCGATAATCAATGACGCTTACAGAGTTATGAATACTTTCAAAGTCAGATTCATTTCACAGTTACAAAATTATGACGAGAGAGAGAATGATATATGTCTCAATTTATTGATTGATTCAAGTTTCACGATTAGTCAGTAATCTGTAGTTGAATAAACTGCAGCACAGTGACTTTCAAGTCTTTTTAGATATTGAATGAACTGACCTCGATGAGCTGGATGTGTCAACATAATAAATAGACAAACGAGAAGTCCAGATGGAAATTGAGGACAAAGTGTGCTAGGAGTTTGTGAAAGCAGAATGTTTTGACGAGGAAAATATCCCCATTTTCCTAGATAAAATCCAAATAAACTTGCACCGAAAAACTTCAATGAGCGGCGTGTATTATCAGTCGCTATTAATTCGATCGATAATTCCTCCATGTAATCGGTATAACGAGAACTTCCATATTCACCGAAATGTAATTTCACATCGGCATTCACTTGTGAATTTAATTCATCGAGTCCAATGATAATCAGTCTCACTAAATACTCATCTGATGTTTCTTTCATATGAATATAAAATGAATTCGATAAAATGTAATTCAATTTGGAGAACATATCAGATTCAACTGATTGATTTTCGCGCGTCAAATCTTCCCATAATTGAACAATATCTTCTGCCTTCATTTGTTTCAATTGAAGTGATGCATCGATCAATTTCTGAAATCCTTCTTGATTATCGTAAATCTTTCCCTCATGTGTAACAAAGTACATCATTTTCCAATTGTGGATATCATCAATTTGAGTGAAGGTTTTCTCATAACGGGATAAATACAAGTCTCGCCAGAATTGTTCTTGATGTAAGATGGCATACCACTTTTTACACACAAATTTCATCGAATGAAAATCACTAGTATCGGTAATATTATGAAGAATTCTTTGTTGAACTAGTTCAGGTATTTCTGGAAACAAACGATAATTATCGATTTGGAATTCTATTGAGAATTTCGGTGGATTAATTTTTTGTTTAAATTTTTCATGGTGAATAGAAAGCCAATTATCAATCACAAAATCGGCCAACCAAAGTGGACCTTGTGTACAAATTTTTTCTAAGCCAATGAGAATATCATCACTGATTGCCATTGACATTGCTGTATGATAAATTAATGCTAATTGATGATCTTTAGTTTTTTTGAAAAACTCGTCTCGTTTTATGATTGTACCTTTTTGAGTATTAGACGAAGAAATAACGTACTGATCGGTATTGACTGGCCTGCTGCCGTACACTTTTTCATTGTATTGAACAAATAAATCATACAAGATTCTATCATTCTCAGTCAATGGATCAGCAATTGTGATCAATTGTCGATAGTCTTTTGCCGTTTTGACCCATTGATGTGGATAGTAGAGCATGAATTTTTTCAATATTAACAAAAGTTTAGCTGACCCATTTTGTAATGAACTTTTTCTTTTATTCCACCAGCTGCCCTCGAACGTTTCGCTTGTCCAATCTTCCCAATTGTTCAAGAGATATGCCGTATAGGATTTGGATGATCGAGGAATAGAAAAATCGTATTTTAAATCATCGTTCAAGATACAATAAACATAGAGATCTAATAAATCATTATCATTGGATATCGGAATGATCATATCGATAGTCTTTACTTCAGTGTCTTTTTTATGTAACCAGTCCAATAAAAAATGTGAAGAACAAATGATATCCCAATCAACATTATTCCCATTTGAACTTCGTCGAAAGTTTGGTAACCAATAAAGAGCAGCCCGCGAACCAATTAGAATAGCATAATTTGGTTGAAGTTTGAGCGAAATATTCTCTAGAACCGATATAATTTCTGATCGATTCGAAATTCGATTGATTTGACGATCGATTGATGACGCAAACATTGTCTACCTTTGGTCAAATCTGTTCAAAATCAGAAAGCCAACGCCTATCTGAAATTAGTTCTCCTTCAATTAAATTTTATTTATCTTGTCTCAAGAGTCTTGCTTCATCACAGAGATTATGATCATTCGATAGACATTTGTCTATAGGGTAAAAGTCGATTTTAAATCGAAGAATATTTCTTATCATAAAATGAGTAAAAGAAATTATTACTGCACTAAATGGAGGAGAAAACCGATTCTCTCTCGACTAATTCAAATGACTCAGAAACTCTCCCTATTTTTTTTGTCTTCTTACTTATTCATCATTCATAGAAATGATTTGATTATGAGAATAGTTCCTTTTTATCAAAAATTTTGTTTACATTACAAAAGAATGAAACATTGCCCACCGTCAACTGTGTATAGAAAAAAAAATCTATAAATGGATCAGGAAGAAAGTTTTAATGTTTATTATGAAAAAACATTCTCTTACCTTTACAAATGTTTTGGTGAACCAATAATAAACCTCTATTCGTTAGTTGTGAAATAAGTCATAGTGAAAGAAGTCTTGGAAGTTGAGACGACATGAAAACACTCAGTTAGAATTCTGGGACACAGTTCCATGATCAGTTATGGCCACGTCACAACTCTACACAATGAGTCAACTCTATGAATGGCACATGAATATTCCTATGTGGAGGTTTCACCTTAGTCATACTGTATTCAATGGTGTTGAAGTTATGCAATCACACTACTTTTGTGTTATATATTACGGCGACATCTTACTGCTTTTTCACATNGTGGGTGTGGGTGTGGGTGTGGGTGTGGGTGTGGGTGTGGGTGTGGGTGTGGGTGTGGGTGTGGGTGTGGGTGTGGGTGTGGGTGTGGGTGTGGGTGTGGGTGTGGGTGTGGATGAGTACGGGTGTGGGTGTGGGTGTGGTTGTGGGTATGTGTGTGGATGTAGATATAGATATCTTTTTAACTCGCACGCACACGCACACCCGAAGTTCAGTTCATGTGTGGGTCAACTTTCTGCGATGAATTTTCGTATGGGCATACTACCGACAGTGCGTGTTTTATTGGCAAAAGTCGCATGCCAAAAGACTGTGTTTTAATGGAGTTACATTCAAAGCAAAATGATACGAAAAATGTTGACCACTACTGTATGTGAACGGCATTCGTTGATCTTTTGTGTAAACGTTTGAGTAGAGTGAAAGAAGTTCTAGACAATGCTTATAAAAATTTTTCGAATGCGTCTTAAGCCGTATTGATTTATACTATAAACTTCCAGAATACATTTGATTCAACAGAAACTACCTATGATAGTTGGTGAGGATATGCCATAGTGAACGATTGAGAGGAATGAAGCTAGGAAATTTTCCTCTTGATGATTTTTTGGAAAAGGAAATACTCAGATTTATGTAGTTCAACGCAGTCTATGTTACTGACATATCCAAAGCCAGATTTTAGGGAGTGGTCGATTTCACTCCTTAGTCGGCGGTGTTCTTTCCATCAATCATGCGTTCATTTTCGATTCATCCAATATTAATAATGAATGTAGATGGATTCTAAGACTGGGATGAGATGCTTTTTGAAAAACGATTTTTATCACAAAAATATTTTCGTTGCATGTTTACTTTCATCTGTTTGTTAGATGTCGAATCTTGTACGAAGATCAAGCCATGATTTCTCATGTTATTATTTTCATTCAATTGTTTGTCGATTATTTTCTTGACAATAACGCTTAAGAAATGCCTTACTAATTATCTCTGAGAATTTTATTTAAATATAAATTAAAATTTTTATTTTCCATCGGTAGATATACTTGATGCCTACATTCGAACAACAACTAGAAGCTTATATGTGTAAAGAAACTGATTAATCATGCATCATGTTTATTAGCACTTTATACAACCGTAAATGCTACTGATTGGTAATAGATATCTTCTGTCGGCTGTAAGTGCATGGGAGTTGCTGCTCCAATTACTCGAAGATGAAAATCAGCATGTGACGACATATATTCGAAGAGAACTTTCATTTCATGTTTTTCACAGGTCGGATAGTTGGTGAGTTCGTCAAAGGTTATAATTGACCCAGGTACAAGACGATTACCAAGAAGATAAAAGACATCACGAGCACTGTCATACAAATCAGAATCAATATGGAGATAGGGCACTGGTGGTGAGCAGTGATGATAATAGCGATCGATGTTTTGAACAAACGAAGGTCATGTGTCGATAAACCACCCTCGAACCAGTTTAACATTTGTCGGAACATTCGGTATATTTGTGTTATGGAAGAAAAAATGACCACGGGGATATTTTGGAAGCCAATCAGAAGGGAGATCCTATTGAAACAAGAATTAAAGAGGAAGATAAAAAATATCTACCTGAATTGAATCGAATTCAAATATTGACTGACTTGAATTCCCATAATATTTCGACTTCCAGCTAGCTGATTTATAAATACTTTCACCTTGAAAGACACTCTAGATTGAAAACAAAACCAATCAACCCTAGTGTAGAACTGATGTTAACAGTTGATCTACGATTCCATTGAACGAGTTTCGACTACCAGAGCTTTGTCTGTCAACCTTCAGCATAGTCAATAAAATAAATGAACGACGATAGACAAATCCAAGCTTTCAGTATAGATCTTTTTAATTTCAATAGTAATCGAAGAACGAAGCATGTCTCACGAAATAATTCAAGAAGGACAGTGATAATATTCCATTTTCAATCCTATAAAATAGCTCAATTTTCTTGTCTGACATGGTTTTGAGTTTCGAATATCGAGTAGTAAAGAGTAATGTGCTTTTTGATTACCTTCGAAAAATTTCATTTGAGAATTATCTACAATTAGTAGGATCTTGTCGAACTGAAAAATAGACTTTCTGCTTACTGAAACTTAGACAACATACAAACTCTAGCCATAATCCATCGCAGAAAGGACAAGGAATGTCAATAAAAAGTGGACTTGTAAAAAGAGCATTGATCGATAATTCACCATAGCGGATAAGACGAAGAGCAATACGAGACTGAAGTAGCAGTTTAACGTCAGAATAATTCGAATAATTCTAACTAGAAATAGTTTCATTCTTGACATTCAAGGAACTATTGGGCAAATGATAGGCACTACTCATATATGAATCGATAGTTATGTTGGGATGTTGAATAGTGGCACAGACTGGATGATGCATTCTTTGGTTTTCATAAAAAATATCAAAGAAAGAACGACTTGTTGCAAAATTTTCGACGTTTCTGTATTTATTGTCAGCTATTGACCAAATAGAGAACAGAAGAATTGTAAACGTCATGATTGACAAAAGGATGCAGATGAACCGATCCCGAAGCGTTAGAAAAGATTTCAATAGAAGTCTATTTTTTGTAAAACTGATGCATCGTCTGGAATCAACGTAGATCAGCGACATGATTGAGCACAATGGCAAACTAGAACGAAAGAAAAACAAGCTATACCGAGAGTACAAAAAAGGGCACTAGTGTAAAATCTGAAAGCTGAAGTAAATTATTGCAAACCATTTCAGGTATTTCGAGAGAAACATCGTAGAGATATGTATCCGCGGCAACCACATCCACAGAGATGCGGTTTATGTGCGTTTCCGCTAATAGCTGAACAGTTGAATATCTGAATGCCAGACGTAAGATATTTAACAGCTGAATTAGCTTGCATTTAACTGCTCACCCATGTCATAAAAATCGCATTATTTTTGGCAATTACTCGTGATACTTGAAAAAACCGGCGATTAATCGCAATTGATCGACGACTTTTTCAAAAGCAAACAAAATTGTCGATTTATCGCCAACTATTCGCGATTTTTCAAAAAGTGAAGAAAATTGTTGATTAATCGCGATTAATTAGTGACTTTTCGGATATGACAATAAATCGTCATTAATAGGCGATTTTCCAAACTTCAACAGTAAGTATTACTATATAAAATAAATATTTTTTTTCTTCTATTTATATCATCGGATCATCTCAGTGAACAAGAATTATTCTTTTATTTAAAAAAAAACTTTTCTTTCATTCAGATCATCGGATCATCAAAGTAGACACTCATACGACTCGAGGCGGACGAAAACTGGCGGTAGATCGCATTGTGCCGATCAGTATAATGTGCGCTATAGCGGCAGTTTGTTTTTTAGTGGTGTATCATGGTGCATTCTATGAAAGCGGGAGTGTATTTTTGAAGTTTGTTAAAACTGACAGATTTGAATCGATTTTGATGCAGTTCAGTTGATGTTAATGGATCCGAACCGCCTGTGATAGCCATAGAGTCCTAATCTCGGCCTCAATTCTGAGTGAGATAAGTTTTCATTATAGAAGGCGCTGCAAACGCTTTCATTAGCAAAATATATTCTGAAACTGGTTCTTTTTGTCGATGAATTTGAATACTTTCTAGTACTAAATTTGAATTTGAGTAGAAAATACTCTAAAGTCGGTTGTAGTTGAAGCTGAAATTACTAAGTGCTACCGCCGGTATATCAATATGTACCGATGATTCTTACGAGTACCGCTAAATAACGATGGTACTGTGAACAAACGTGTGGCATGAGTGAACAATATTGCTTTATAGCGTTAACTTTTTTTTCTTACATTTAGATCATCTGATTATTTCAATTAAAAGTAACTATTATTTTATAAAAATATCTTTTTCATATTTTTATATAAGCTATCCATCAAAATGAATAGTTTGTATTCTTATATGAAAATAGCTTTTTTTGTATTATTTAGATCCTAAAATCATCTCAATGAACAGTAATTATTATTTAATTTACAAAAATCTCTTTTGCGCTATTTACTGCGGCTGAGCAGAAATAAATCATCACTCTCATCATTCACTAGACACATGTATGAGCACGATGGTATGCACTTCGAGACGTAGCCATACACACAGATCTGAACACTATGGCCATGTCAAGTTATCGAAAATATTACAGGGCGGCTTATAAATAGAACTATGATAAAAATAATTTAATGCCTCCGCATTCGTCAAATTAAATGCCTGAATTTTTTTAGAGGTAGAGTGGCATTCAAACTTTCTTTTTCATACTGGTAAAGTTAGCAAATATTATTTGTAAGCATTATTTTTCGTACCATGAACGAAAGTTGAGCTATTATCAAGTAAAAAAAATGAATGTGTAGTGTTTCGTAGATAATTTTCAGTTGTTGACCAGAAGAATAATAAGAAAAGTCAAAACGAACTTTATCAATGAATCTGAATTAATGCACGTAAAGCAATTTTCCAAAACTAATATCGGCGCCAGAAGTCAGTGCACTCGGATGTTTTTTGTACATCTTTCGATAGAAACAAGTTCGAGACCTTTGGTTTTCAGCTTTTGATAGCCAAGACCCAAGAGCGTAATTTCATAAGCAAAATGTTGGCTGAGAAAAAATTCGAATATCGGTTCTTCAGCAAATATTTGGAGAACTACGCTGGATATCTGAAACCTGTCATAGGAGTACATTGATTTTTCTACATATTCGGAATCAGCATCGAAAACTGTATCGATTCATATATGTTTTGAATCTTTTCACGAAACTTTTTTTCGTTGAAAAATTCATCCCTAGCTCCCTGACGGATAGGTTAAAAATGAACTCACTCAAAACGGTTTTTTATTATTTATTCATTTGCCATTTCATGTTCTTCTAGCATTTTAGCACCTCTAGACCTGTTTTCCATTGTCTAAGTGGCTTTTCGATTGAATTCATTTTGTTTTCCCTACCCGTCAGGGGGACAACGGATGAATTTTACGACGGAAAAAAATTCGTAAAAAGATTCGAAACATATATGAATCAACTCCGTTTTCGATGCTGATTCCGAATATGTAAAAAAATCAATGTACTCCTATGGCATTTTTCAGAAATCCCGCGTGGTTTTCGAAAGATTCGCTGAAAAACCGATGTTCGGATTTTTTTTTCACGGCAAAGATTTCGCTTATGAAATTATGTTCTTGGGTATTGGCTATCAAATGCTGAAAGGATGGGTGTGGGTGTGTGCGTAAGTCTTCTCTCAACACCCCCACACCCAACCACATCCACTCACACCCACACAAAGGGGGAAAAAGCAAGACTTCAGTATTTCACTCGTACTTCATGCGTACTTCAAAATTGTGCTTGAAGTACCGTGAAATTCGAGTGCATTAAAAGTGAAGCACAAGTGAAATGGAGTAAAGTAAAGTGAAGCATGAGTGAAGTACAAGTAGAAACACAAGCGAAGGACAGGGAAGTATGAGTGAGTACAGAGGAAGTACAAGTGAAATACGGTGAAGTCTTGCTTTTTCCCGCTTGACTCACGCCCACATCCACACCTACACTCACATCCACACCCACACCCACACCCATCCACGCCCACCCACACACACATCCACCCCCCCCTACACCCCACCCCCACACCCACCCACCCCCCCACCCCNGGCGCGTTCGATGCCATTGTTATGAAATTTTATGATGTGAGATGAAAAAATTCTTTTTTTCAATGTTTCACATCAATCCCATTGGTGGCAGCTCGAATGTGAATAGCAAGGCCTCCCAGCCGAACAACAGAAGAGAAAGTCGCACCCACACCGATCCCCACACTAACACCCACACCGATCCCCACACCCACACCCACAGTCGCACCCACACCGATCCCCACACTAACACCCACACCGATCCCCACACCCACACCCACACCCACACCCTCTCATCGATATGTAACAGTGCGGCTACTATGCTTAATCTGGCAGAAATTAACAGACGAAAATGACAACATCAGTTAAAAACATATCACAAAGAAAGAAAGAGAATCGATGGTGGTTGAAACAACTTTCATGGTCGAGATTAGCAGAACAAATGAAAAGTAAACAATATTGTTCGTAGCATTCTCTATGCGACTTTCTCTTCTGTTCTTCGACTGGGAGGCCTTGCTATTCACATTCGAGCTGCCACCAATGGGATTGATGTGAAACATTGAAAAAAAGAATTTTTTCATCTCACATCATAAAATTTCATAACAATGGCATCGAACGCGCCGGCATACTCCAGTATAAAAGATTTCATGGAGTATTGTTAATACAAGCTGAAACTTCAGTTGGAAAACTATACACAGTGTGAGTTTGGTTAGAAGATGATCATTTTTTGGAATTTCCAAACAGAGATACTACTATAAACCTGATGGAGAAAACTATGTTCTCGCGTTTTTCTACCAAACTTGGCATTTTGAGATACTTTACACTAGTGAATGGCAGCTTATGAAATGACCAGTCTTTTGATGAACTCTGTACGTGCTCGTTGACTTAACTGTCGCCATCATCGCTTCATGTGCCACTATCCCATCAATTTTAACAGATCACTGATGGATTCTAGCACTTAGGGTGCCACCGACTTCAACTTCGATTCTTGGTTTGCAACCGGTCGTAATCAGTTGAATTCGAATAGCTTGGATTGCAATTTAAATCGGTTGCAATCGGAACTGGGTATGGGCGAGAAGTTACCAGTGGGTAACCGAATATTCTTTGATTTGATTCTTTCGTCAAGGTAGAGTTATTGTACGAAAATAAGGATTTTTTTATAAAGTTTAGTCAAATGTATTCAGGACAGAGATAGCTTGACTCAGAAATGAAGTGAAAAATTCCGAGAAACTGATTACAGATTCGGATTGCTCGACCACAAAAACCTTTGGTTAAACGTTATAAAAAAATCGTAATCCTTGTATAATAATCCTACCTTGACGAAAGAATCAAACCCATGAGATTTTCCTCACCTAATAGCTAGCGAAGTAACTGTTTATATAACGGTAAATTTGCACCTTTAAGCAATTCTAATTCAAATTAGGCTAAAATTGGAACTAGTGCATCTCTAGTAACAGTTACCGTTGCATCCATAGTCCTCCTCAGAATCACTAGAAAACTGATTTTCGAATTTCGACTTGAAATTTTGCATAAAAATAGGTCTTAACAAGAATAGATTTTTGTGAATTTTTCAGACCTTGTTGCTGTTCTTATTTCATGATAGGAGCATATCATAAAACCTAAAACTATCACAAAATACTATTCTCATTAAGACCGATTTCTATGTAAAATTCCAAGCCGAAATTCGAAAACCAAGTTTTTTGTGTCCCTGAGGGAAATCATAGCATCGATTGAAAAAAAATATCGTAAAAGTGCAATATCTCCTTAGCACTAAGCTAGCGACTCGAACTTTTTTCAGGGTATTTATAGTTCATATGGGTTTATATAATGCACATTGTCTCAACGCAAAAGTGATTGAACAGTTAGTGCTTTCTTTTGTTAGACTTATTTGAATATTTAGAGTTGGTAATTTCGAGATTAGTGATACATCTTCTTCTTTAAATCATATCTGATAGGAATTCGTCATTAAGAAAGACATTTGGAGTAGCTAAAAGCAGAGGCAGCTTGCATGGTTTTGAACAAAAGTGATACACAGGATGTCTGAATGACCAAAATGAAAATTTGACATCTCTGCTATGGCTTTATTGGATAAGCTAGCTATTGTGCAGGTGGTAGGAGACATATTCAAGTGTTAAGGTTTTAAAAACTTCTTCAAATAGTATTTTTGAGTTCAATATACAATAAAGTCCTTTTTTGGACTGCAAAAAATTAATATGCAGAAGTTTTTGCTGCGAGCTTCCAACCATTTAGGTTTATTTCTCTTGTTTTATCAACATTTCTTCAAAATGATTCGTTTTTCTCTCCTCAAAAAACGTTGATGAAAAGTAAACTGACAAAATCAATGGAGTTTTATAAAATGTTTTTTGCGGACACTGGGACTGTAATCAATGTGTCTATTATGTTTAAAATATTCATCTAATGTTTCTAAAGGAAGAGAAATAGATCTGGATGACTGAAAGTTCACAATAAAAATTTTCTGCACGTCAGTTTTTGCAACTCGAAGAAGGACCTCATTGTGTATTGGAACTGTAAATACTACTTTTTAGGAGTATTTCAGAACTTAATATTTATCAATGAAATGTTAGATATGTCCTATACCACTAGTTCAATAACTAGTTCATGTAACCGAACCCTAATAACTTTTCGAACACTCAGTGTGATGTGTTATTATGAGAAACTATTCTCATTCAAGTTTTTCCGAATCTCAAATATGAAATTTATGAAAAAATTTCTCGGGTAAGAATTAAATTTGTTTGGATTCGGTCGAATATTTAGAAAGATAATACTTGATTCTATCTATCTAATACTAAATATTAATTCATATGATTCTAGGTGATGTCTACAAAAGTTTCAATTCATCATGGAGTTTTTTGTTTCATATTACTAGTATGCTGTTTGTTTTTTGGTAATCGTTTCAATTTTCATCCTTTACGTTTTTCTATTCTTCAAAAATCTTTTAATTCTTCTTGTTTAAAATGGAATCCTATCGATCAACGTCTATATGAAACATATGAATGTTCCAATCATGTACAGATAAATAGTTTCATATGGACTTATAATGGTACTGGATTAATGAAATATATTCAATGGATAGTAATACGAAGATTAGGAAATATTATAATTACTCAACTAAATAATGATTGTAATGTTATTGAACAAAATTATTTTCCCTCAAATTCAACAAATAAAACGTTTGTTCAAATTTACATAATGTCTCTGTCAGCTAACTTAACTAATGAATCACAATGTTCAATTATGATTAATCAAATGGCAAACATAAATTTAGGATATATGAATCAAATTTATTTTAAAAGAAAATCTATTATTGCAACACTTCTATTTCAACAATTAGATTTGATAAAAGAAAATATCAATCGAACTTATAGCTTAAATATGTCCATTGAAGATAGTATTACCAAAGCTATTTATACTACAAAACATTTTCCAGATTTTTTCAAATCTATTCCATCTATTAAATGGATAGTTATCGATGCAGAAGATTTAATTAAAACAAATTTAATTGACTGTGAAAAAATCATAACAGATTTTATTTCATTATTAGGGTTGTCTAATTCATCGTCTAATTTAAAAAATATAATAGAATATGATTCTCATCAGTTTCTTGAAGATTCAACTTGGTGGGATCAATCAAATGTAGTTGAAAGTATTTTTAATACGCCCATACCATCTCGTTCATTAAATTTTACATATTCTAATGATTTTTATTATTTACATGGTGATCGTTCATTTACACAATATTTATATGAGAATCGTCAATGTTATAATGAGGGTATATTTGTTCAAATGCAATCTGAAACAATAACTAATCGTAATTCAACTGATAAACTAAATCGATGTTTATCGAAATCATTTGATTGTGCTTTTAGTGATTTATATTCACTGCAGGATCGTGAACAACTCTATCAACCATCTTATCCAAAACCAATAAAATGTGGTTTTACAATTCCATCGATCTTTGATAAAGTTAGAAATCGATATGGACGTAATCATACATGTCAAACTATAATTTATACATGTGTTACAAACTGTTATGATCCTCTACCACAAGTACGAGGTGATATCCAATCTTCATTTTGTTTTGTTGCTTTACTTGACACACGAACCATTAATGCTTATAAAAAGTTTAATTTAACAAATTCGAGTATTCATTGGGATATGATTGATTTAGGTGTTAATGCTACGCCATTTAGTGTTGCTGTAAAATCCACAGAAACATTAAAAACTATTGGACAACGAATGTTTCCATTGGCGAAATGGATTATTTGGCTTGATGGTAAAGGGCAAATCAATGATATTAGTGAACTATTGAAAGAAGTAAGAGCTCCAGTAATTGGTGCTCGACATCCTATTCCAGGACGAACTCCAGCATCTGAAGTATATCCTACCATTATTCATGTATCTGCCAAAGAAATACCATATTCTCAAAAACTCAATAATATTGTAATAGATATTGATCTTCAACAAAAACAATATAGCCGGGAAGGGTTTTATGAGCGTTCACATATACTCAATTTAACATTGTATGATATTGCAATATTTGTGTATAGAAATAATCATCCGTGTATTTTTCGTTATTCATGTGGATGGCATAATGAAATAAATTATTTTTCATATCGAGGACAATTATCAGTTTATTATCCAGCTGTTCGACTAAACTTAACTGATTATTTACATTTCTTACCGGAAAAGTTTTATTCTATGTTTAGTCATCGATCAGTTTGCTAGAAAAACAATCTATGATTTAAATTCAATATTTATCAATTAATATAATTTACGACAAAGAAATAATCATTTCATTCAAAGTCGAAAATTGTTGTACTAATAATTGTAAATGTTCTTTATTGATGAATATTTATCTGTTCTATCCTCTTCCAATCGTTATTCCTCATCACCTAAGCACTTTATACATTTTTCTGTATACACTTATATATGTTCTCAATATGTTCGCTAATATAGAAATGTAAAGACAGTGAAATACTTCATTCGTCAAAATCTTCAGAAATAGAGTTTTTTAAAAATATGTCACCAAACTGATACAAAGCTAAGTAAATATTTTGTAAGCGCATGAAATCCTGTATCATCTTATATTTTTACCAATTTTGATTTTTCAGTTATATAATGACCAATATTTCGAAGATTGTTATTGTACTCACATATTAAGTGTTGTTGAGAATTTGGGCAACGTCTCTTTGCATTTTGATTTATTCACGACAAAAGGTCTGAACAGCTTAATATTGATTTACTAATACATTTGAACGAAAACTAATCATTCAAGTATTTATCAAAAAAGATTTAGACTAGTTGGCTTTGCTTTTATTATTATCTACAGCATTGATGATTGATTAAAGTGTATGTATACAATTATGATTGACAAGAATAAAATTTTAATTTTGTGTGTAAATTATTCCTAAATCTCAAATTCATTGCATTTTATCTGATAGAAATTGATACACAACTGATGAAAAAAAACAAACGCCAGAATACTCGAAACTAAATTACTCCTAGAATAATTTTTAATCACGTTTATTTTTCTTTTCTAATGTGTTGAACCTTAACAACTTCCATAATGGACTTTTACTAATGCGAAAAACAAGCCAAAACATGAGATCTGGGTTTGCATCTAAAATTTCTCAAAATTTTTTAAAATCCAAAAACCTTAAAACCTTTGAAATCTGATTTTTTCCCCTGGAAATTTCGTTTTCAGATGAAAAATGTTCAATATTGATAGTAAATATAATTCTCAAAACGAATATATCTTCGGACCGCCAGTCTTATTGAAGCAAATGAGAGAGATGGCATTAAAATGAAAACAAAAGATCATGGTCTGGTTGAGTGTTTGCTCCAAAGGATGGCACCATTGATCATTTCTGACCAAGCCACAGTAGTGACACTAAAATATAGGAATAAGATCTTTGGAGAACATTGAACATTTTAACAGGACAGTGCGAAATATGATGCGCATCACCTAACACAAAAATAGTGTCAGGATAACTTTCGATCATTCGACTATTCTATTTGAAACAAATTTGCACAATCTATGAACTGGATTAAAGAAACGTCGAAAGACACGTTTATTAAAGAATTGAAATGTACAGTCGAAAGAACTCGAGAATATGCTGTTTTAGAAAGTTGTTCATCTTGGACTGATCGTTTAAAGTGTGTCTCAGAAGATGATTTACATAAATAAAAAATACGTCATTTTTTAGAGCATCAAAAGATGCATCGTTTAAAAAAATTAAATCTTGAGTAATGAATACAAAGAGGTTTATTATATCTGAAACATCCATTAATTAAGCAATTAAGTATCATGTTCATATCCAAGTCCTTTTACCATTAAATTGAAAAATCATTTTATTTATTCTTTAGAAGATAAATGTTTAACAGTCGATAATGAATTTCTAATACGATGAGAAATTATTTCAATAAGTATGTTAATATATTTTGTTTTTTATCAATTAAATATGAATTTCACAGAAGGACTAACTGTGTTGTCGGTAAATCAGAAAGAAAATAAGGAAGATGATTTGTGCGTTGTATATTACCATCAACACGTCAGGGAAAATTTATAATAAATAGCAGGTAAAATGTTACTTAAAAGTCTGGTTGAATATAAAGACCAATATGATTATTTACAAAAAATTAACATTCTTATTGGGTATTATTGCCGATCAGATTCGATAAATAATAATCTACAAGCATTGAGATCAGAATTATTTTTTAGCTATCTGTATTTGTCTATTGAAATGTATAAAATAGTCTTTATATCTTGTCAATATTTCGTGATGTGTATGAGCAATACGGTTATTTATTTGAGAGATTCAATATTTGACTATCAATCGTTTACCTTTTCAATTATCATGTCAAAGAATAAGTTTAATATAATTTGTATGCGATAATATTTCAGAAGATTTAAATATAAATCAATAGATGAAAATATTTTCCTAAGCTTCTAATCACATTAGAACTCTTTTTCGATAGCTATAGTCTTTTAAATCATATTCCTTCATCGATGTTACTTACATTGAATGGCAGCATAAAGATGTTCTTATCATAAGTTTTTTTCAGCAGGAAATGGAATTTTCTTCAATCGATGTCATAAAATAAAATAAGTTTCTCTTTTTAAAGTCTAGATCTTTTTTAGGTGCATCTTCTGGTTTATTAATCAAGTCTATTAATTTATGAAAAGATAACTTGCATAAAATCTCCATTGATAATGGTTCATCCGTTACGTTAAAATTAATAACTACAACAAAATCACCTATTGACAACCATCTTAGCAGTGTGTGCACAAATTTCTTTTTTGACATGAAACATAAATAAACTAGAATTATTTGAAAAAAAACGACTTTTCACTGAATATAAAATGTACTTAACGAAATAAAAAACTGATGGAAATAACTATAAAAATCTATTTTATTCTATTCAGTTCCTTTCTTTCTTTTTCTTTAATAATGACTTGCATTCTTTTTACATTTTTTTTTGTTATGTTTACCTGTGCATTTTTTAATGGTTATATAGAAAAAAAATATTGCGAAAGGAAAGAAAAAAAGAAGAATCGTACTTTTTTGTTCGAGAAAAGAAAAAAAAATGGAATCCTTTCAAGACTTGTATTTTAGAGTGTGCATTAATTTCTACCATGACACGTTGTCAAAGTGAGTTTAATATTTATAATACTTACTATCTTTTATTAGATATTTATTATAAAGCTAAATATTTTAATAAACGAATTCTACTTCTTAATCTATTTAATTCATTTTGAAAATTGTAATAGAAAATCAACTTAGTTTTCAAAATAGACAAGTATTGTATAAAATCATTTCCATTGTCTATTAAAAAGAGTGTTTTAGAAATGAACCTTATTTTTCAATATTATTCGGCAGACCAATCGACAAAGAGCTGTAGTAAAGTAAAAGATTTTATAGGATTCTGTGAGAAAAAAAGTTATTTACATAACCTTGTTCAATAAGCAAGGAATCTTTATGTAGTACAGAAAAAGAAATCAAATAAAAATTCTTGTAGTTTTCTTAACAACAGTTAACTTTTTCTTTCATTTTTCACTGCGAATATACTAAGTATAGACGCATCAACAAGTTAGACTTAATATTTAACAGAGAAAAATCTATAGGAAGCGTTAGAAGAAATTATATTTTCATTGATTCCTTTGAAAAAACATGTGCGTGATAGCTGAAAAACGAAATGCAACAGTGAGAAATACGATAGCGAAGGTGTTCATTGTTATGAATTCTTTCTTAAGAGTGGTGCGAACACTTAGTGAGAGAAAACCCAAGATCTTATAGGTGTTCAATTGCCTGATGAAATGTTTTATGTCCTTAGAAATGACAACAACTATTTTCATTCTCATAATGATATATTCACTTTCAAGAAATCATCTCGAATATATTGAAATTTGATTTTCGATCTGAAAAATTCTCTTTCATAGAGAATCATATCAATTTAACATGAGGATCATTAAAAATAATTTTAAAGGCATTATTTATAAAAATGAAACAAATATCTATTGATATTAGATTATAAAACTAACAGCGCCTCATTATTAGGTATGTACCAATCGGACTAGATACAAAACGTTACTGAATATCCAAGAAATTCACCGGTGGACCGAGCAGCTCGTTTGAAGGGTCTTGGTGGAAAACGTCGAAAGAGAAAAATTTTGAAAAAAAATTCAAGAAAGAAAATGTCTAAATGATTTGTTCTTGTAATACATGATAGATACTCTGCTTTATTAATTTAAAATAAAATAAAAAAACCAAGAAAACATTCACAGTATGATAAAATGTTATTCTTTTTCTTTCCAACTAACAACGATAAAAATGACAATAGTTCATTATCATCTATTGATCTCTTAAGATATCTTGAAAAAAGATTTCAAACTTCTAAGTTATGAATGAAACACTGTTGGAACGTGACGTTGAGGCCATTGTGATTATATAACTATTATACATCAGAAACAAAATTTTCTTTATGCATTGAAGAATAAAATGTATTCGTTCATGAAGGATCAATATGAACAAAAGCAACTGAAATTTACCAATGGCACCTTTGAACGTATTCGACATTTTCCTTTTCGACGCTATCCTCTAACCTCGTTTGAAGATGTAACAGTCCGACGGGGTACCAGTTTTCCAGTCGTTGCCTGGGACTGGTGCATTCCTACTCATAATGATTAGATATATTATTATACAATTGTTAATTGAATAAATAGAAGACGCATGTAGCTTTCGAATTGATGAAAAATCGATTTGTTGTTTCTTTGAGGTTTAAGTCAAAGGGGAGAGGTAGATGAAAAGTAGCTACGCTAATATTGCTCTAAAAAATCTTTTTTTTTTGGTGTCATGTACACTAAAACAATGATTCATCTTTAAAATAAAGGAAAATTAGTGTCTGTATAAAAGTTTTAGATGTTTAATTGTTTTGAATTAAATTTATATTTTAGACGAAAATATACATCTTCTACTTGACAAGAGTAAATATTACAAGTTGATTATTTTATTTTTAATGATATTGATCTACTTGTTAATTAATTCGTTTGGAAAATATTATAATTATCCTAATAAACAAAACAATGAAACAACTATTATTAACTATTCTGGTATGTTAAAATCCACAACTTGAAAAAAAAGTATTACATCGAGATTTTTTCCATTTTTCGTTCTTTATAAGAAAAAATTTCTTGTTCACTAGATTATTCATTAGAAAAAGAAATCAAAATATTTAAGAGTTTGTAAAAAATGCAAACAAAGAAAAACTCTATTGAATATTTTCAAAGATAAATATCCTATTAAAATTGAATAAACAAGGACTACTAAACAGTGGCGGATCCAGGGGGGTGGCGGGGGTGGCGACCGCCACCCCCTTCGAACTTAACTTCACGTTGTTTCCTAGTGATTTTTCATGGATATCTTACATTGTTGTCTAAACCGCCANTTTCATTTTCTTTTTTTCTTTCCTCTTCTTCATCTCTCATCATGGTGTGTGCACCACTGTGTTGAAGGGGAGAGGTGTCATGGCCTCCAGCCATGATATCATACGGTTATATCCTCTGAGTCGAGATTCCTTGAGTCATGAGCACGAGATGCTTGACGCAGGAGTCTTGACTCATGAGGATGTATATATGCGATGCGCTTTGATGAGAGGGGAGTGTGATTTCCTTGTTCCTTTTCTTCCATGTCTCTGCCTTCTCGTGTGTGGTCATATCAGAAAGTCGAAAAACTTTCTTTTTTGTTTTCTGTGGTAGAAAAGAGAGAAGTTGGTTTTTTATGCTGTTTTAACTAGAAAACTATTAAAAATGTCAAGAAGAAAGTCTAAAGAAAGTTGAATTAATCATTCTATTTTTGAAAAAAAATGGCATAATCGGAATCAGCATTATATTTTGCATCGTATCTTTTGAATTTGAAAGCCTTTTATTTCCAATCAAGATGTTACAAACGGACAAGAAAATAGAAACATAACGTAAGTAGATGGAAGAAAGACTGGAGATGATGCGGAATGACTCATGCTAGATGTCTTTTGTCTCGAGATAACTATGTAGATTATATGATATAATATTTTGTTTTTTTATATTTCGTTTAGTATATCTTTAAGATGAGTTTTCCAGTATTTTATCGTTGTTTGATTGGACTTTGTTAATAGCTTGATGTAGTAGTGTTATTGGGCATTGTTTTATCCTTGTAATATTGCTGATTTTATAGATATATTTCACAGATATATATGTGGGTAAACCTAGGCCTACTCGAATGACTTTGTTTTGTAGAATTTGCAATCTCTCCTAGGTTTTGTTGCTTGTCGTGAGCAAAAGTGCGAATTCATATGTGATGATGGTTCTTGTGATGCGTTTATAAATTTTTAACATGATTTTATCATTTGACTCAAATGTTGATCTTGAGAGAAAAATATGGAAGACCAAATCGATCAGCAATTTTGGATTCAATATATTGAAGATGACGACACCAGTTTAACTTTCTGTCGACGATTGCACCCAAATATCTTGTTCAGTCGGATGGTTTTATAGTTGTTCTTTCTACTTTGATTGACACTAGATTCTTGTATTTCTTGTATGGATGAGAACTGAAATGTATCAATTCTGCTTTTGTAGTTTGTAATTTCAGCTTTCATGCCGTGCAACACCATTGAAATTCATCTATGAACTGTTGAAGTATGGATATAAGGTTCAATGTTGTATTTAACGATATTCAGAGAGCTGCGTCGTCAGCAAACAGATCATGTTCCGTTTATTGAATCACAGATATAGATGATGTATAAAAGTGGTGATGGAGGACGGTCTTGTGATGTACCACTGTTTAACTTGAAAAGTCGAGACAGGACATTTTCAAGTTCAATCGCAGCAGTTCTATTGTTCAGAAATGAGATGAGATAGCGGAGTAAAAATTTTGGTAGGCGTAGATGATTTAATTTGTAAATCAAACCGTCATGCCATGCCAAGTCTAATGCAGCTTTGATATCAAACGAAATAGTAGCTGCATGACGCATTTTTATCAGCTGAGGATGTGGGTGTGAGTCTTCATCTCTATCACACCTACACTCACACCCACACCCTGATTTCTGGATCCTTCTTGCTCGTATCAGCACATGCACCACAGACATTAAATTTACATCAATAATATCAATAAAAAAATGCTACTATTGTTACCCTCCAGTAGAAAAAATAAGAAATAATTGTGGTGAAAGTATAGACTCCTTTACGAAAAACAGTTCATTTCGTCGTTTCAGCAAAAATATCAATTTTTGTTTTGCAGCAAGTAATCAACTCTTTTCTTTCATTGAATTCTATTTTGAACATATCTCAGGAGACATGAACAGAAGAACAGAAGATGAACTGTTCGACAGACCAAATAATGGAACCAAGGGTAGGAAAGAAAAACAGTCACACACTTATCCTGAACGAGCCATTTTTGTTGTTATAAAAGTTTCTCTTACGTTCGGCTGTTCATGCACGTTACAACCGCTCGCTAGTAGAAAGCTGCGTGTACCTTTTGTTGCTGGCAATTGTAGTGTGCACGAATGACAGAATGCAAAAATAACTTTCAGAACGTTAAAAGTGACTCGCAGTGAAGGAGTAAATGTGTGACTGTTAATTTTACCATCCCTACTATTGCTTTCATTGGCAGTCGCGTATTAAACATGTAACGAGTTGTCGTGATCTTCAGTCGCTTTTTCGTATCAAGAAATACCTCAGTAAATACCACTATCTGTTTTGATAGCTTCAATGTCATTGTGCATTCGTCGATGAATCTGTAGAAAATTGTCACTCTCATTGGATCGAAGATTTGAGTATGGATGTAGTTTGTTTCACAAAGCTTCCACTGTTCAAAACTTCATTTCTTTGATGTTAGTGTGCACATAGCAGCACGAAACTATTATATGTCAGAAATTGAATGAATCTATTATTTTAGGTTGTTAAAATATGAAATAATGGATATTGGTGATCATAAATTGCTAATACATAGTAAAACTTCATCTTGACTTACTAAAGATGGCAAAATTTGACCTTCTTTCAATGTCATAATTGGCGATTAGTAACCGAATCAAATTGCATCAGCTCTCGACGAATAACATTCAAGGATATCAGCGATACTATTCATTTTTTTTGCGAGTTTCATTCTTAAAGCCGGATCTCGGATGAGAGAAGTATGAGTTATGCGTGCATTACTCATTAATGTCGTTTATTTAACAATCATGTCTTTTGATTGTATAAAAAAGCTTAATGACATGGCTGAGCAACGGGAGGTTATTTCAAGACTTTTTCATCTGTCTCGATGTCATTGTGTCAATGCTCTTCTTTGTTTCTGTCTTACGTTCTTCGTAGAAGTATAAAACTAGAAGTAATGAACATCGACATACCGTCATTTTTAATAATGAATTCCACAAGCAACGACAATAATTACAATGTCATTCTTGTCTTATCTATATCTTTTGCTTTCATCGCTTTGATTATTGCCAGTAGTATATTGATGTTGATTGCACTCAAAAAACGGTTACACACTGTAACGCATTTGTTAATATGTAATACATGTGTTTCATCAATTTTATTCTGCGTTATTTCGAGCGCAAACTACACATTTCTTATTTTTATTCCATGGGAAATAAGTGATGCTTCCTGTCGTTGGCGAGGCTATTTTAGTTATTTGTCCATATCCAGCGTCATGTATTCTTATGTCATTCAAGCATTATCGCGGTTTTTCTTTGCTGTACTCTCAACGAACTATCGATCGATTACTTCATTTAAAACACATTTTTTTCTGATCACCATACAATGGTTCATTGTTGTGCTCTTACCATTACCGACTATTATCACACAAGACATTCACTATGTACCTTTTTCTCTTTGCTGGGTGCCCATGACCCACGTACTTCATGTTGCTTACACACTTTTCGCCTATTATATAATGCCCACTCTGTTCATCGCAGCCATGTACAGTTATATCTATTGTCGAACCAAACAAAGTTCAAATATTACACTGTCAAATGTGGCAGCAAGAAATCATAAACGTGATCTGGAAGTTCTGCACAATATTATGATCTTACTAGGAACTTATGTAGTTGGTGGAACACCAACATTACTTTATTTCATTACACGAATTCAAGTTTTTTATCAGATCGGAATTGCCTTTATGCCATTAGCAGTTGCTATTGAAAAAACTGTCACCATTCTTCTCAATCGTGAAATTCGAAGTATTATCAAGCGTTTTCTCGAACGATCAACCACACAAGTAGTACCGATTAACTACAATACTGTTATCTTAAGAAATCTCAATGTCATTCGTCCCAATTAATCTTGATGACTTGAGCTGATAGACTTTCACATTAATTTTCTCTTTTTAAAAGATTGATGAATCGATAACGACATACTCAAAATGATGGCAAACTGAATAGGTGACGTGATATTGAATGAATTAATTTTATTCTTCCTGTGAACATAAACAGGGTGTGAATGTAGGAGTGACTCTGTCGCTCTTCTCTTCAATTTCACCTGCATTCGCACCCATTCACATCTGCACTATCAAACTATATACAAAAGACTTAGAAAAATTGATTCAATTTTCGACTTGAAAGCATTACACAACAATTTTGAAGGTTTTTTGCTGTTTTATTGTCATTTAAAAAGATCAACATACATAAAAACGAACTCGTTACTCTTCTTATCATAGAGAAAATTGTTTTTGCCATTCTTATCGCTTTCTAGTCATATGAATTCATATTTTGTTGTTATTAGGCTGTCTCAGTTGTGGTTACTTTAGAAATTGTAGCCAAATATCTTTCGAAAACACAGAGCATATTGTTCAAAGAATTTATTGAAGTTTTTTGCATGAACGATAACACATCGTTATGCATCTGCAATTAATAATAGTATATTATTTCTGGTTTATTATTTTTATTGTGTCTGTATCATTATGTTCTGGAAATGATTATTTTCAGGACTCAGTTCAACAAGTTCAAAAATCTATACTAAATAATGAAGATGATATAAATCAGCTGCTATCAGAAAAAGAATTGAAATTAATTCGATTCATTTCATATTTAACCTATATGCAAACAACAACAAGCAATATAACATGGAATGGTTGAAAAAATAACTATGACGGTCCTCAACTTGATTTAGATTCTATTCGATATCCTTTAGCTCATATTGGTTATACAGCAGCAGCATTAGCTCATAGAACACCAAATTATCGTGAATTAGCAATAAAAATATTGAAAGATTCGATTGAACGCATGCTAACAATCAAAGTATGGGGATATATTGACTATTATTGGAAAAATGCACCTACATTTCCTGATCCTGTTTGTTTTGAAAATATAATGTATAGGGGTCATTTATTGCAATTATTGACACATTATGAGAGCATTTCAGGTGATTTCACATACGATATTGATGGATTCTATTTCATATGGGATAAATATGGAGATCCAATAACTAAGATACATTATACTACAACATACTTAGCTTATGTTATTTATCGTCAAATGAATGAAGAATCATCAGCTGGTGTAACATGTGAACCGGGATGGGTTTATACAATTTGCCAAAATCATCCACATCTTGCCTTAAGACTTTATGATATTGTTCGTGATGGTAAAACAAATTTTTCTCGAATATCATCAAAATGGAAAGATTTTTTAACAAAACATGCTTTAGAAGATATACCTCTTTATAAAAATGATCGATATTTTAAAATGCTATATCAAAAATCTACTCACATCTGGGTCCCATTTTTTGCGTCAACAGGTAACGATGGATGGACTTTAGCATGGATGTCCTCATGGTTTGATCAGAATGAGACATCAAATTTTATTTGTGATGGTTGGAAAATAATGTATAAAAATAAATATTGGAAACCATCGACAAACCATACACAACCAGATTGTTTTTTAGATAGTGGTGGTTATATTGGTGTTCGTATGCAATTAAATAGTTGGGTAGCAACAGCGTTTTATCCGATTGTCGAAAAACAATATTCAATAGAAGCAACAGAAAAATTAAATTGTACTTATTCATGGTTTGATAATAATTTTGGGACCTTCTTAGATACAGATAATGATGGTTACTTTGAATCATATTATTATGAAACAAATACAATCTATTCGAATTAGGTGACAGCAAATGTATTATTATCTTTGTTGATGGGTGAAAATGGATACATTACCAGACAATTTCTACGAAATATTTATAATATGAAATTCTATCAAAAGTTTCTTGATCATGATCCAGAAGTTTTAGCTATTGAATATCCATTGCTTCGTGTTAGTCGAGCCCAATATGATTCAAATAGAAAACAATTACTAATTAATTTTAATACAAAAAAATCAATAATTTTATCAACGAAATTCGAAGTAAAATATCCTAATTTGATATTAAATGTTTCAAATGTTACACGTGATGGCATCTGCAGTGGAAACACAATGAATCAAATTTCTAACGATAGAATAAGAATACAATATTCTTATAGCAGTATGGATAAACAAGAAACACAATTTAACATTTCATTTTATTAAATGACTTTTTTTCATACAATTGTTTGCATTGATTATTCATTTCTTTCATTAGTGATCGTCCATCAGAAAAGAAGAGTTATGTATTTTTCATTGATTTGTGCAGTTGATCTCGAACAGAAACAAATTAATCAGTCCTTAGAAAAAGTGTCGGTGATCAGAAGATCCACACACACACATTTAATTATGCATTCACAGTTGTAAAACATTTTATATGTCGANCATACTTTTGAGCATCTTTGGTCGGTATTTGATCGATTTTCATCACTAAAAATTAGGAGCTGAGTTAAATCTAACAAGTTCGAATGAAGTAAAACGATAATAACAGGCGAGTGGCAAATGAATATATAATAAAAGTAATGTTTTCAGGAAATTCAATTTTAGAGTCAACTCTGAGGGAAACCAGGAAGAAATCTTTCGGTGAAAAATAGAGTTCACAAAGAGGCTTATAAAACACATAGTCAGACTCAATTTTAAGTGCTGATTTTGAATATCATATTAGATTTAACTCAATTCCTAATTTTTAGTGATGAAAATCGATCAAATACCGACCAAAGATGCTCAAAAGTATGTCTTCATAGTAATGTGCATGGAATTTCTCAAGTGATCACAATTTTTTGTGAGTCGGGAAACTATACAATTTTGCAGCTTTTCAAATACTATTATCAATCAACATATAAAGATTTTCTTTGGCGAATCCTCATGGAAACATATCAGAAACAAGTCCATGAGCATAATCGATCTTTCCCCTAAAATATCAGTAGCAGCCAATCAAGTGAAAAATAAAAGACACCAATGATTTCTTTTAATTGGACTTGGATTTAGGAGAACCGGTGCGGAATTGAATACTCTATCTAATAAAATTAATCTAAGACAGAGACCGTCACCAGAACAGGGCTGCCCTGTTGCCATGTCCTGCCGGTCCTGTCCTGCAGGGCAAATGTCTTTTTTTGCCTTGGTGTTTTTTGTACTCGGGTAATTCTTTGGAAAGTGTACCATATTACATCGACTTTCTCCAAATGGAATGAAACTTTCTGAGTTTGTCGGACTCGTGTGTGTAATCATAGCCATAGATCCGAAAAAAATTGAAAACCTTGCGTAGGGATCCGAATTTGGAGGCGAAGGTGAATTTTCCTAGAATATGAGTGTGGGGTGCGAGTGTAGAGCGAGAGAAGATCCACACTCGTACACTCTCACCTACACCCTTTTCGTGAACCGTTTTTATTTGTTTTTTTATATGTAAATACTCAATGTTTTTTTTATTATATACTTAGTAATATTGATTGATATATATTATATTTTAATTAAATAGTGTTCACATCTTGTAACATTCTTTTGAAATGATTTAATAAAGCATAGATATTGAAGGCTCCCCTTTCTCAAAAAAATTTACTTTTCGTTGGAATGATCGAAATTAAGATAAATACAGGAAAAGATAGCCAGTGATCTGATCTCTGGTAAACAACAAAAATTTTTACTTGGCACTTTGTTTTCTCCGAAAGTTTTTGAAGATTTCCGTCATCCCCTATTTGAGAAATAAGCTATTTTTGAAAAAACCAAAAATCTTTTTCCGTTTCTTCAGGTTTTACAGGTTTTTAATTGTATCTCCATCAATTGTCAAAGAAGTTTCATTCAAGTCAATAACTTCTTTTTTTGTTTGAAAGCTCGTGTTTAGGGCTAGGGACGATGGTCGCTCTTTTTTAAAATAAACTTTTTTATTATCATATAAGAGAACACCTCTATAGAAACAGCTCCATTTTTAAGGGTTTTTTGAGTCATTGAATTTGTCATCCATTTTCTTCGCTTAAAAAGTAAGAATTTAAAAAAAAAGGGCGGCCATTGTCCCTAGCTCTAAACACGAGCTTTCAAACAAAGAAGGATTTAAATGTATAGAATGAAGACTCAGAGCATTCATGGATATCAGATGAGCTACTCTTGACCTTTGTTTGGTGAATATCTCTATCAAACGTCATGGTGTAGGGCTAAAAATTCTATCATAGCCATTTCACTCCAGCTCCAACATACCTTGAAAGTTTCATGCAATTTGGATGTTCCTGAACTGAGATCATTTTTTAAGGGACCTAAAGCCACAAAGGATTTTGAATCTTTATACAGGTTATCAGTTTTCGTTCCAGACATAATGTCAATCTGTCTGTCCTGCAGGGCGTCCTGCCCTGATGGCAGAGCAGAGCAAAAGAATTTTTAATGACTCATTGCCAGGACAGGACAGGACAGGACAGGGCTAGATAAATCAAGGCAAACGGCAGGGTAGGGCAACAAAAAGTGCCCTGTGACGGTCTCTGATCTGAGATAAAATCGTAGCTGTCGTGAAAACTAATCTTGAAGATATCTCAATCTTTCAACAGTCGTGTGAACCATAAGGAACTGGTGGTAATGTTTGGGGTCCTTATTACTGTAGACATTATCGAATCGAGTTGAAATTATCACTAATCAACTCACCATTAAATTCTGCATTCATAGATGCATGAATATAAAATATTTAAGAATGGATCGATTTATGGTCCTATCTGTCCCCTCCATTCATTAGTTTGCGAACGTCATATTTAGTTCATCTGATCCTTATAAGCTTCGTAATCGTAAGTACATATGTTCGAATTTACTGTTGATCAAAAATATCCGATAGGTATCGAGCGCTCTGATACTCGTAAGTGCATAAGATCGAATTTTCTGTTTTTCGAAAGTATCCGATGAGTGTTGCGTGCTCAAAGCGGTCTGAAAATGTCGAAAGCATTTTTTTTTAAATCGATAAAAGATTCGAGTAGTTGGCATTTCGATCCCTTGAAGTTTTGTAAAACATCAACCCACCCATTGATCTGCGATTTTTATCATTCACAATTCATGTAGAAAGACTTTTTGACGGGTATCGAAATTCATATTGTGACTCCTCAATATAAAATATTATAAACTGGGAAATAATTGTAAAAGCAACCGTTTGCTGAGTTCGCGACGTAGTCGAAAGTGAAACTCCATGAAGTCGATCTGAAGCTCCGATGCCTATCGGTGGCTTTAATCGACGCGTCGGAAAGCCTATGGAATGACCGATTGCGGAATCTATTGGTTAGTTCATTTCGTCTTCCGGACGATTTGAGTGCAATAATAAAACTATTTTCATTCAACCGCCGTATCCAACAATCAACTGTAACACTATGTACCTTATTACCCAGCGTCCTTAAGACATTTGAAGATTTTTTTCCTTTTTTGTAATGGACAATAACGATATTCACGAAGATCTTCACATTTTGATCCCTAAAAAACTCATCAGCATAATTCAAAAATGTTTTTAATGTAAAAGCGGTAGGGATTACGCGATATATTTCAAAAAAAACAATTTCACGCTGAATGATTTGTTGGTGACGACATATATAGAAAATGATTGGCGCTATTTTCATTCAAAGTAATGAGACATTTCATCATTACACAATGCTTCATTTTCGGTCTTATAAAACAATCCTGAAACTAACTCAGTAGGATTTCTCGTTTAGACTCATGTGAAGAATTCTATGACGTCTCTTCTGAAATAAGAATCAAGATTATATGATATATCTGTAGCTACATAAATGCAAAATACCAACTGTTACAATTTTTATGCCGCTAACCGATATTTATGAGAAAAATAGAATACCTGTGGGTGTTTGTGTCATGACTTTTCACCTACTTATTTTTTTCTCTTATAAAGCTTCGTTTATGTTTTCTTGAACTAGTTGATTAAAACAGAGATATTGAAATGTCTACACCAATTTTACCAATTATTCAAAATCAACTTAACCTTTATGGATACCCAATATTTTTAGTTTTGGGAAATATTGGTAATATATTTATTGTTATAATCTTTGGTCAACAACGTGTAAATGCATGTTCAACTTATTTAATTAGTTCAGCTATAGCTAATAGCCTTTATTTAACATTCAATAGTTTTGTTCAAATATTTCCTTTTTATTATAATGACGAATCAGCACGTGCATTTACTTTATGTAAAATACGCTTTTATGTATCAAATGTTCTTGGACAAATTGCTAAAACAATGATTGTCTTAGCTTGTATTGATCGTTTTATGTTCACCAGTAGTCGCGCTACATTTCGTGCATTTAGTCAACCTAAACGAGCTAAATGGCTTATATTTGTTGCTATTATTTTTTGGCATATCTTTGCTAGTCATATTGCAATTATGACAACAATTATCAATAAAAAGTGCGGAACATTTGGTACATATTCAACAATTTATACGATTTATTCCATAATATTTGTTGGTTTGATTCCACCAATCATATTAAGTATATTTGGTTATTCAACATATTCTCATATGAGACAAATACATACACGTGTTCAACCAATTGTTCAAAATAATCGCGAAGGAAATGTTGCAATGCGACGACGAGACAGAGAATTATTAATTATTGTCATTGCTGAAGTATTTGTCTATGTTGTTACAACAACACTATATCCATTAGTTCTTTTAGAAATGATGATTAGTCCATATGTATTATCAAAAAAAAATATTCAATATTCACAAATTGAGAGCTTTATATTTACCATTGCATTCTTATTATTATTTGTCAATAATACTGCACCATTTTATACTTATTTAATTTCATCAAAGTCATTTCGTCGAGATTTTAAACAATTAATTATAAATGGATATCGAAAAATACGAAGACAACCAGTTGCTTCAAATATTTCTGGAACACAACATCATACGCTTACAAAAAAAGATACTTATATTTAAACAAATGACTTAAATATAAATTTGAATGTTGTGTGTGTACTGTTTTCATTGTTCAGAAATACATTTAGTGAGTCATGTAGTTAGATTTACAACATTTTGAATCTTATTTAAAAAATCCATAATGTTTCGTTATCAAGCTGATATGAAGTATTCTGAATCAATGAGATAAAAATTCTCAACATTATGTTGAAGTATGTATATCCAGGGTGACCCAAAAGTTACCCGTCAGTCAGCATTTGATTTTGAATAACTTTTGGTATGAACAAGAAAGAGAGCTACGGCTTTCACCGTTCGAAAGAGAGCATGTTACTACACAGTTCCATGTATTATTCAACGATCTTATCTGATGATCAAATGGTGAGTCTTCGAAAAAACAGTGACAGCTCTATGAAGATGGTATAAAATTTCAATTCTAAGAAGTGTACTAGACCCGCGTACTTACGATCCACGCCCACAGCCTCATCGCCTAATGTCGCATCAATAACATTTGAATGAAACAAGATAAAAGTTTTGTGTATGGGCATGAGCATAGCTCATAAGTATGCGAATCTACTGCACTTCTTAGAATTGAAATTTTGTTCCATCTTCATAGAGCTGTCACTGCTTTTTCGAAGACTCACCATTTGATCATCAGATAATATCATTGAGTAATACGTGGAACTATGTAGTAACAGTCTCTCTTTCGAACAGTGGAAGTCGCAGTTCTCTAGATTGTTCCTATCAAAAGTTATTCAAAATCAAAGACTGACTGATTGGTAACTTTTGGACCACCCTGTATATTGAGAGCTTTTTTCATGCAACATTGATGAACTACAAGTTTATAGTTAATAATTAGCATTTATTGACATGCATTCATTGATCAATGAAAGATAAAATCTTGTGAAGAAAACAAAACTTGAAATTTCAATTGGAAATTGTTTAGTACTAATATCAATACTGAAAAATAAACTATTGAATAGGACTAAAAAGTTTATGTGCATAGTAGAAAAATAGATTTTGATTACATTAATTACTTTCAGATTTGATTCAATATGCCTTTTAGTAAAATTAGAACTGATCAAAATAATTCTTCAATACTTATGAGTATTCTTTATGTTAAGAAAAAAAGTAGACTGTATTTTTCCATAGCCTACAGTAAATATTCATAAAAATTATAAATGAAATTCTAGGAACATGTATCTGCATAAATTATACTGTTCATTTCGTGAAATTAGGTATTAACAACAATTGAACATCCCACTCGACCTAGAATGAACTTGTTAAATAATATCAATAGAATAAAACCATTGATCTGAAAATAAAAACTAGCATTGTATTTTATAAGATGTGTATTTATTTATGTAGTTAAAATGAAGATCAATGGATAGAATAAATTCTAATATTTGTATAACGTATGATTGAGAATTCGATTTCAATTGAATTTTATTTTGTATACTTTAAAAAGTATGTAAACGAGACTTATTCTTTTAAATATCAACGATGAAAGAGATAAATAATATTGCGTCATTATTGATTTTATTAGACAGAGAAAAATTCAGTGATTTACTTCGAACTAAATATATAAGTATAAATGTTGTAGGTGAAATAGCAATAATCATTTGTTGCTCAAATATTTTATGTAATTTCGGGACATGCGTGTAATCTTTACTTAAAATGACTCATAAACACTTATTTTCTTTCTTTCTCATCTTATGTTGATAAATCTTTTATTTTCTTCAATGGATATTCATTGTAGAGAAATTACTACTAATCAGAACTGCTTTTCTTTAATGAAATAAAAACTAATCTATCGATTTTATGTAATAATTTTAAATTTTTTAGTATGAATCAAATGCAAGAACAAGAAAATAGTTCAGGTGAATATTGTAATGTTGATAATACAGCCCAAATAGAAAGTAAATTGTTTTCATTTTTTGTTTTTATTTTACTTGGGCTTTTTTTTCTTAGTAGTAACAATCAAAATAAAATACATCGATTACAAAAAAATACACTGTATTCGAAGATTTTTCCAATGAAATAATCTATGCAATATTTGAATTTCTCGATGTTTATCATATTTATGAAACTTTTTATAATCTTAATACACGATTTCGAAATCTTTTATTGTCTTCTACTCTTCCAATCAAATTCAATACATAAAACATTTCTATGAACAATTTATTATGCCTAATATACATCGAGTTACTTCAATGTGTTTATCGCAGTCGTTCATTGCCGATTTCATCTTGCCATCATTTCAAAATATTGTAATATTTACTCAACTTCAAACACTTGTTATTGATAATATTGATTTAAAATATCTTGAAGACTTTTTCGAACATTTATCTTCATTATCAAAACTTTCAGTTTTAATGATCAATTATATTAATGAAGAATATGATAAAACCTTTGTCTATCATCAAATATTTCGTTTACCAGCATTGAAATACTGTATATTATCTTTACACGATATCGATATATCTGATCCATTGCCTATGGCTTTTGATAATTTTAGTTCTATTGAAGGGTGTGGGTGTGGGTGCAAGTCTTTTCTTCAACCAAGCCCACACCCACACCCTGGCACTGTTTTGCCTCACCCTTATTGGTATATCAATACCGATGTCGATTGCGACTATCTGTAATGCCTTCAAGTTTTGCGACATTTGCTTTCAAACATATATATTTAGCCAGTCAATAGCTTGATTACAACAAGAAGAACCTTTTATTTTTAGTAAAATTAGCAAAGGCAGAGCAGATAAAAACTCGGCTAGTGACGGTAACTTCCAACTCTTGAAAATAAGATCAAGATGACGAATATGATATTGCGGCGTAAAAGGTGGCACTATTCTGTTGTTTCACTCATAACGAAAATAATCAATTTACTCACCATAAAAATCTGAAGTCACATAAACGAGTTTAACCGAAGGGAAGACCAACTTGACTGGTGAAATGTTATGCCGTGAAAAAATTGTAACTTCAGACTTTTCGACAAAATGATTCGTTTAAGAGAAGAATGGCATAGATTTGTATCTAATGACAAATATTATCTAATAAATGATCAAATTATGAATTGTTTCGAGATACCTTCTTGATTTGCCACTATACGTCGGAAACAGAAGTTAGAAATAAAAAATGTCATTGTTAAAGTATGTGTATTGCACTCCATTTTGGGTGCATATAAATTACTGAAGAATGAATGGTAACAAATTAAGAAAAAAAGCGAACTATCTAATAAAAACAAAATGAAAATGCCGTACGAATCGAAAATTGGTTAGAGAAGTATAATTAAGTGATTTTCATAAAGCTATCAACAAATTCTAATGATACAGTTTTTGATGCCAGCAATGAAGAGATCTAAGAAAATCTTTCAATCATAGAAAGTAGCACGTCCGGGTTCTTGTAATGTTGCACAACAGCGAACATTGCATTGCTTAAATGAGATTAATAAATGTATGACACTATTACTTCAATATAAGCAAACATGTTTATGAGCAACTGAAAATAAAAAAATTCCATGCAATTCATGAACCTCATCCGTATATTGATCGCGCTTCAGAGAAAGAATTTCAAAAAATAGATTCTATTTTTCAACTTCAAAAGTTTGATTTTAAAATGAATCAAAGCAAACTATCGAAATGGACACACATAATGAAAATAATCAATTTCAAAAAAAGACTGATTCTAAATAAAATTTGGCATTCTGAGTGAAGGGAAGAATATTTATAATAGTTTAAAATTAAGGTTTCGAACTGATATTCATGTATTTTTTTGGTGAAACTATGAGTTACTATAATTGTAAAATAGGCTTAAATAAAATAATATTCTATGATTACAAAAAGGAAACGTTTTTTGTTTTTAACTCGATTGGAAATTACAATCAAGGTAGTGTGTTAATTCAGCAGGGTACCCTGCTCTGTCATAGTAAACCAAGCAGGCAGGACAGGACAGGGTGCGAAAAAACTACCCTGTGAACACCTCTGATAACTATCCACCAAAGTACATATAACGTCACTTGAGGGTATGGATGTGTGGATTGATGAAGAGAAGACCCACACCCTAGAAATCACGAGTTACGCATGGTCATAAGCAAAAAATCATGCGAAAATGAATCTGAAACGTTCAGAGCAACTCAAATCGAGTGAAAAATCAAAATAACGACTGAAATAGGTCCGCATCGCTATAGAACGAAAAGCGTAACACAACCAATTTCCAAATAGAGATGTCCAAAATTCAATGTTAAATGAAAGAACCAAGACTTCTCCACAAAATCAGAACACAAAAAGGACACAGAGAAAAATAGTACAAAGAAGCTTTCAATAAACAATAAGATAAAACAGCCGTGAATAAGTTGTTACATGCACCACAACAACAGGCGAAACCAATGAGACCAGAATCGACACCAAAGTGCACAATCATAAACACGACACTTGTTCAGACTCGAAAAGTATATGATGACACTCTTAAGCAGGGTCGAAACACATCATGATTTGTTTGACATTCACACCCATACCCTTCTAAGGAGCTTTCAATCTATATATGAATAAACTTTTATGGGCAGAAGGATTAGAATCAGAAACAACAAAAATCTGTCTCTTAGATTCCTAATTAGAGTCATTTGTCCAGTTCTGTTCATAAAATCGCTGTTTTTGAAGAATATATGTATATATTTTTAATTCATTGTGATTTTATTAGTCAAGAATATTAAAATTCGTTTTTCTTAAATTTTCTTTAAAACATTGTAATTGTTACTTTTTCTTCTACATGAACTGCGTTCACGTCTAGTAATGATTCTTCAACATAATTTTCATCGTGTACATCAAGTTCAAGTTGTCGTTCAATTTCTTCACATATTTCAGCGTCATCACCTATCATCTTATTTGAATCCTAATTAAAAATTAAACAAAAGAATCGAATCGAATAATTTTGTCTTAGCATTAACTAATTACTTCAAGTTTTTTCATGAGTACAGCGACGACAATATTGAGAAGTACAAATTGAGCCAAAAGAACGAAAATAACAAAATAGATAGGTGAAATTATTGTCATAAAATGGTTTTTGCCAGCATTAGGTGAATCATCTTGACGTAAAGTATCCTTTAAAACAATATATATGATTAAAAAAAAGAACTAATCATTTTCTCCAATCATTTACTTTCATAATACTATTCCAATTATCGCCTGTTGCAACACGAAATAATGTAAGAAGAGCTATACCAAAATTTTTAAAATGTGCATGTTTATCAAGACCACTACATGGTTGTTCTTCACTACATTCTAATTTTCCGAATAATTCAACCCCAAGTGTAGCAAAGATAAAGAAAAGAAGAAAGAATAGAAGACCCTATTTTCAAAGAATCAGAAGAAATAAAAAAAATTATTTAAAAATAACCAAATAATTCCATTTACCAAATTTCCAACTTCTGGAAGAGCTTGAATAACAGTATCTAATAGAGCTCGAACACCTTTGGCAATCTTCAGCAGTTTGAGTACTGAGATAGAAAAGAAAAAAATATTTGATTCGGTTTACTGCACTCATTTACCTCGTGCTATTCTCAATACTCTAATCACACGAATAAGTGTAGGATTTATTGGAAGAATATGTCCACTTAACATTTTTTCCATTATAATACTAGCTATTGATAAAAGTACAATAAATGAATCCAACTGATTCCATCTTAAAACAAAAAATCAAATAGAAACAAATCTCGATTTTTTTTCCTTACCTGTCTTTAAAATAACGCCATGGTCCAAATGCAACAATTTTCCATATAAATTCAAGCAAGAATACAATCGTAAATACATAATTACAATACTCAAGAAACTTATCCAAGTTCTAAAAACAAAATGTTTTGACAATATAAACAATTAATGAATCATTTTTGTTTTTCCTTACAGATGGCATAGGATAAAATTCAAGTGACATTGTAACAACATTAACACCAATAATTGCAGCAATAACTAAATCAAAATATTTACTAACGCATAGATCATGTAAATGTTTACGCCATGGTGAAAAATGTGCATAATATGGTAATTCACACATAAGACGTCGTTTACGTTCAAGCTTTTTTACATATTCTACTTTACGTTGAGCTTCTTCTTCAAGTTCTTGTTGAGCTCGACACTTATGAAAATTTTCAACAACAACACCAACAAACATATTAAGTACAAAAAAGCTGACAATTAAAATAAATGATATAAAATAAATTAATTTTGCTTCACTATAATTCCTTATTGGTTGCATTTCAGTATCAACTGCATCAATACCATTATACATTATTTGTACCCAACCATCTTTTGATGAAAGAATAAATAGTGTAAGTAGAGCCTAAATAAAAGTAAACGATTTAAAAACAAAAATTATCTTCACGACAAAAGTTTATTTAATAACATACTTGGCCTAAATGATCAAAATTGTATTGTTGATTTTGCCATCGATGATCGGGCATAGCTTCACATTGTTGTCTTGTTTTTACATTATGAGCGAGAGAACCTTCACAATAGTAGAATTTACCTTTGAAGAGCTGAAAAATAAATTAAAAAAGTAAATAATGAGATCGAAGAATTGTGATAATGCATAAAAAGAAATTTTGCTCAGCTTGGTCAAAAATCTAAGATTTCTGATATCAAATTTGAGATGATGCAGAACGACAAATTGTTATATGCTACGATCCTGTGGGATCAAGATACGAAAAATGCCAGTATCTAGGTGGATGACGTCCGGCTATTTTGGTTGAAAAACTCCAGAAATTGTTGGATCTTTGAGCAGGAGTTTGGCAACCGACTTTTCTAGTTTTCGGTCGGACACCATCCATCAGAATTAGTCCTATCCCGTTTCAAGGCCATGCGATATAAAGCAGTACCCTCACGAATCTCTATCATATGAAGTTATTTTTAGCGAAAGAAATAATAAAAACTTGATGTTGTTTAACTTGAGAGCTCGAAAAGAAAGATACGAAAAACATCCTCTTATTTCCATGTCAGCTATCTCTGAAATATGAAACATAGGCGATAAATCATTCAAAAAAGTACAGTGTCTAAAGAAATTGATTCCTAAATTTTGAATAGCACTCATTTCTCAGAAAATAAGAAGTTTTTCAGTATATTCTTAAGTGTAACTTGAAAAGTGCCGAAAAATGAGTACAGTAAAACTTTTGACTAGATTTCTAATATAATCCAGATGAGTATTAAAATTTATCCATAGGAATTAAAAATCATTTTCATATCAAGCTCTATTTCTCCCTTTTACCTGAACACCAAGAATGCCAAAGATGATAAAGAATATACCACAAATAATAACTATATGACCGATCGGTTTCAATGATGAAAGTAAAGCATGAACGACAAGTTTAAGACCGGGTGCTCGATTGATAACTAAAACGATATTAATGGAAAAATCAATCAAAACAAAAGAAAAAACATCTTTTCCAACCTCGAAGTGGTCGTAATGCTCGTAATAAACGAAAGACTCTTAACATGCCCATAATATGTGATGTTGTATCCGACTCTGTGGATAACGTAATACTACCTCGATTCATTGTACTAATATCAATAACTGAAATAATTACAAGAAATCCATCCATAACATTCCAGCCGGTATGTAAATAAGTATTAGATCCAAAAATAAGTCCATTTGCAATTACTTTAATCATCATTTCAATAGTAAAAATCGCTGTAAATATATAATTAGTGTAGTTCAAAAATTTTCGTTCCTACAATATAATTGCAATTATTGGCTTTTAACTTGAAAATAAAAACTAAGTGATTACATACACGACTTATAGGAGAAATCGATGGACGTTCCATAGCGAGTGTAACACAATTGAAAGCAATAAAGAAAAGAATTAAATAATCAAATGATTTTTGTATAATTAATCGTTGAAATACTTTGCGTAGTCTACCAGAAGAAACGAAATCATAAATTTTTCTATTCGAATTATTCTCAGAACAAAATCTTACCTATTCGAAGGTGGAAAAAGATAAAGTGAATAGTTTTCTCGCTTCTTTAAGCATTCAAATATTCGTTGTCCACAAAGTCGACTTAAACATGATCGAATAACCTAAAATAAAATAGAATTTATGTAAAGAGGAGAATAAAATATATATATTCATTATTAATTTTGATTTTGATAAACCTTCTGATTCAGGTCAATCACATTCGACCGATAGGTTCATAGCCTCCAAAAATGTTGAACTTGGACCCCCTCATAAATAATTTTTCGGGTTGATCTCCAGCGTAAGTGTAAATAGACTCGATACTTTTTTCGATTAGTAGCATGTTCTAGACGTTGTTTTATGATACTGACGGAGAGAACCGCAAGAGTCAAAAGTTTTGCTATGAAATAGTAAAGTTAGCCGAGAAAGTGATACGAAATGAATCTTTTTCAAGTGACTATTTACTTCGAAATGAGTTTGAAATAATAATCAATATTTACTCTTGATTTCTGAGTTGTTAGTTCTAATTGTGTATCATCCTCATTTAACACATCTAATTGCATATCATTTTGATCGTTTACCGATAGTTGAGTATGAATAGCAAGTTGCATAGTACTACTACTATTAGAATCTATATGTCTATCAATTTTTTCTTGTCTTCTTGGTGTTTGATTAATACTTGTCGATACATTTTGATTAAATGAATATGATGAATTATCAATTGTTGATTGATGTGTAACAGTTGAATTAAAACATGTATTTGTTATACTATTCGATTCTTGTTCAATTAAATTTTCTTCATGAACAGTGAAATATCGTGTTGATGGTAATGGAAGCGATGAATCAAAATTTGTACAGAGTAAAGTGCCAACTAATGTATCTTGTTGTTGATAATTTTTCTTATCATCATTACTAAGGTTAATACTTGTCGATTCATCAAGATTCTCTGGTATTTGAATATTACCTGTGATAATTTCTTGTGTCTGAAAATAAACATTGTTTAAAGATATTACAATTTTTGTTTTCTTTTATATTTCTTACTTTAAATGGATCTACTTTGTCCAATCTATCCGTAATATTATTACTATTTGTTGTACCATCTTCTTTCTAAATGAAATAAAATAATGATAAAGTATTTAAAAAAAACGTCAATTTACTTCATCTGAAAAACTTTCAACAATAATGGCAACAAGTAAATTGAATAATATATAATTGCCAAATATCATAAGTGCAATAAAATATAATGCTGACCATGGACTTGTCTTTTCCATTCCATTATAAAGTACTTCATTCCAATCTTCTTGTGTTAGTATCTATTTTATATCATACAAATTAGAACTATTCAAAGAGATAAATGAAACGGTTAATAGGAGGAATATATTTGCGCTAAGAAGAAGCAAACAATAAAGCTGAGAGTAGAAAAATAGTTTTATGTGTGCAAGAATGAACAACAAAATCCTATTGATCAATATTTTATGATACCTGAAATACGGTTAATAATGCAAAACGAAGTGAATCGAAGTTTGCTCGCTCTTGTATACATGTTAAATCTTTGAGATCAGTAGAGNTCATTATGTCCAACCCATTACTTTTTACAGCTTTTTGTATGTCGTTACTTTTCATCTTTTTTCAAATATATCTAAAACAATTTTTTTGGGCCTAGTTATACAGTTTTGTAAAGACTTTCAAGCGCTATCTTTTAGTATAAAAAGATGTCCCGATCTAATGGATAATAGAAGAGTTATACTCAAAATACGAATGGTATAATTTATTCTGGGACACCCGTTAGATTCGTTTCGCAAAAAGATATTGACAAGTAGTAACGAATGAACTAAGAACAAAAGAACAAATCGAAACACTTCGTCAACAAGTTTATTTAAAATGATTACCACGTCGTATCAATAAAATGATTGATCTGTCCATGGATTATATTCACCCTATCTTTTCAGTTTTGTTTTTGACAAAGATCGACATGTTGGATTGACATCAAGTTATTCGAAAACAATAACACAATGTAAATTTGATTTAATGTCTTTAAATCTCAATACTATGGAAAATATAAGACATGGTCATCAACAATCACTCATAGATTTCGAAGAGAAATGTTTCAAATATACAATGATTCATTGAGACGAGCTATTGAAAATCGCCAACAAAACATGAACAAACGTCATGAAGAATCCCTTCAACATAAATTGAGTACTTTTTCGATGAAGCTTCGACGACAACATCAAACGAATGAAATATTGTCATGGTCGTCATCGTCGTTGCTTTTGTTGGATCAGCATCTTTATTTGTACAAAAATAAATGCTTCCTTACCATTTAATGAAGTCGATTGAAATTTAACTCCTCAACAAATGTTCATGTTCATAAATGGTCTCATATATATACCTGCGATCATGTCAAATGCGATACACTGTTCAACCAATGGAGAAAATTCTTATTGAACAATATCAACATATATCCACAGTAGTAAAACAATGTCCAAAGGATAATCACATGCCAAATGCATCTGAACGAGTAAAACAAGCATTTTCCGATTTAGAACGCATCTTACAATGATTAAAATTAACAAAAAATTAAAAAAAATTACTCATCCGTACTCAATTTGAGCATAGAATTGTGCGAAGTATTCAGAATTCACTTCGTCAACGATCTGATATTGTTATATGCCGAGTTAATAAAACAAAAGCGCTATATTGTGGTAATGGGGCTACCAAGGTTGCTAGAACAGATGAATATATGACTAGAACAGAAGCATATCAAGAAACTACCAGTAATCGTTGTTCTCTCTTTGATATCTTATGTGCAGTGAATTATATGTTACTCGATTATCTTGTGAAACAGAAAGGTTTATCAGAAGCACAAGCGAACAGATTATGTCCAAATCCAAATAAATTAGAATTAGCTAATATTCATGACCTACCTAAAATGAACAAAGTAAATCAATTTCTGTTTGGTCGAGTCTATTCTATGTTTTCGTTCTCATTTTCTACAGGATGGCACACCATTACGACCGATCGTAGCATCTATATCAATGCAGCAGCAACATTGATGTCTAAGTTTTTGAAATAATCTTTTAATACATATCTATTTGCAAATGATTCGAGAAACGACTTTTATAAATGCGATTGATGTTGTGTCGAAAATCAGAAAAATATATTGTCAACGGCTATTTGATATCAACAATAACATTATTACTGTTGATGTCACAGATCTCTATACGATAATAACACGAAAACACGTCCATTGCTTTTCTTGATGTGACTATTTCCGAATGAAAACGGACAATTGAGAACATCCATTTATCATAAGGAAACGGCTGAATCTTATATTTTGCCTTATACGTCGGATCATTGACGTCATAGTCATCAGAATATATCAAATGTAGCTTTATTATATGCTGCACGTCTGTGTTCACATGCCGATGACTGTAATACGGAACGTCTTCGTATTGATATGTCACTATTATTAAATGAATATCCGCTGAGTTTTATTACGAAACATTTCAATCGATTCTTTCAGTTAAATAATGCAACGCCCATTTTAGAAAACTTAGTTGAGCAAGTGTATAAGCAATTAGATGAAATATTACTTCAGTAATTCACACATCGTGAAAAATCCTTGCAAATCATGATGCAAGATCTAGTAAAAAATCCTGAACTTTTTAGAACTAAGATATGGAATTTTTTATCCCTTTATTTGAGATGAATTATTCTAGTTTTTCAAAAACACAGCAGTTGAGTTGATCTTCGTCCAAAAAATTATTTGCTATCACTTATCCAACCGATTGTACTCGCAACTTCTCTGAATTAAAACAAAGTAACTGATTGCGATCTCAAATTTGCATCTCGACGAAAACCAGAAACATGTCGTATGGCTTCCTTGAAAAGTTCGTTCACCTCTATAAACACACCGACATCCAATGTTCCAAAGAGTTTAATTTTGTTGAATGCAAGAAAGATGAATTTTTTATCTCACTTCAGAACTTCTGAAACACCCCATACACTGTATTTTGTGCATTGTGGCAAGCGGTTTGCAGAAGAAGCGAATGAAAGAGTTTCATCTATAAACAGAAACTTTCTTCCAAAAAAACTGAATTTTGAAAAATGTTCATATCTCACAATGCGATGTAAAGTATGTGGCCTTCTTTAGAAGTTAATATCTCAAGAACAAAATATTTCTTCTGTCCAAAAATTTCAGGATATCCTAAGGAGCCTTAAATCTATATATGAATGAAATTTTATCTTGTCTCACTGGGCTGTACTTTTTATGAGCGGAAGGATTAGCAACAGAACCAAAAAAATCTGTTTCTTAGATCTCTAATTAAAGTCATTGGTTCAGTTCTGTACATATAGTCGTTATTTTTGAAGAATATATGTTTTTCTAATAGTCTTTATAACCTTGTAAATGTTACTGTTTCCTTTTCATGAAGTGCGTTCACGTCTAGAGTAGTGATCGTTCAATATTATTTCCATCCAGTGTGTTAAGTTCAAGTTGTCGTTCAATTTCTTCATCCATTTCAGCATCATCATCTGTCATCTTATTTGAATCCTAGTTAAAAACAAAAAACAAAGAATCGAACCTTTTTGCTTTGGTATTAAGTAGTTACTTCAAGTTTTTTCATGAGTACAGCGATAACAATATTGATAAGTACAAATTGAGTCATTAGCACGAAAATAACAAAATAAATAGGCGAAATTATTGTCATAAAGTGATTTTTGCCAGTATGAGGTGAATCATCTTGACGTAAAGTATCCTTCAAAACAATATTTATGATTAAAAAAAGGAGCTAATTGGTTTTTGAATCACTGACTTTCATAATACCATTCCAATTATCACCTGTTGCAACACGAAATAATGTAAGAAGAGCTATGCCAAAATTTTTAAAATGTGCATGTTTATCGAGGCCACTACATGGTTGTTCTTCACTACATTCTAATTTGCCAAATAATTCAACACCAAGTGTACCAAAGATAAAGAAAAGAAGAAAGAATAGAAGACCCTAATTTGAAAGAATAAGAAGAAATAAAACAAATTCTTCAAAAACAACCAAATAATTCGATTTACTAAATTTCCAACTTGTGGAAGAGCTTGAATAACAGTATCTAATAGAGCTCGAACACCTTCGGCCATTTTCAGTAGTTTGAGTACTAAAATAGAAAAGAAAAAGTCTTTTATTGTGTTTACACCGTTCCTTTACCTCGTGCAATTCTCAATACTCTGATCACACGAATAAGTGTTGGATTCATTGGAAGAATATGTCCACTGAACATTGTTTCCATTACAATACTAACTATTGATAGAAGCACAATAAATGAATCCAACTGATTCCATCTTAAAACAAAAATTCAATAAAAAAAAAAAATTCGAATTTACTTTTTTCATACTTGTCTCTAAAATAACGTGATGGTCCAAGTGCAACAATTTTCCATATAAATTCAAGTAAGAATACAACCGTAAATACATAATTACAATATTCAAGAAACTTAGTCAATTTCTAAAAACGAAACGTTTTGACAATATAAATAAATAATGAATCATTTTTGTTTTTCCTTACAGGTGGCATAAGATAAAATTCAAGTGACATTGTAACAACATTAACACCAATAATTGTAGCAATAATTAGATCGAAATATTTACTAACGCATAGATCATGTAAACATTTACGCCATGGTGAAAAATGTGCATAATATGATAATTCACGCATAAGACGTTGTTTACGTTCAATTTTTTTTGCATGTTTTGCTTTATTTTGGGCTTCTTCTTCAAGTTCTTGTTTGGCCCGACAACTATGAAAATTTTCAACAACAACACCAACGAACATATTAAGAACGAAAAAGCTGACAATTAAAATAAATGATATAAAATAAATAAATTTTGATTCACTATAATTCCTTCTTGGTTGCATTTCAACGTCAACTGCATCAATACCATTATGCATTATTTGCACCCAACCATCTTTTGATGAAAGAACAAATAATGTCAGTAGAGCCTAAACAAAAGTAAGCAATTAAAAAAAAAATTATCTTAATGACAAAAGTATATTTGATAACATACGTGGCCCAGATGATCAAAATTGTATTGTTGATTTTGCCATTGATGATCGGGCATAGCTTCACATTGTTGTCTTGTTTTTACATTATCAGCGAGAGGACCTTCGCAATAGTACAATTTACCTTTGAAGAGCTGAAAAATAAATTGAAAAAAGTATATAATGAGATTGAAGAATTGTGATAACGCATGAAAAAAGTATTACTCGGTCTAATCAAAAATCTAAGATATCTAATATCAAATTTGAGAAATGTGGAACCACAAATTGTCATGTGCAACGATTATGCGGTATCAAGATATGAAAAAATGCAAGTATCTGCGTGAATGACGTCTGGTTAGTCTAATCGGAAAACTCCATAAATCTTCGGAGTTTTTAGCAGAAATTCGGCAACCGGCTTTTCCAGTTTTCACTCAAACTGAGCATAAACGATCGCCGGGCTTCGCTTCCATAGTTCATATATTTTTGAAGGTTTTCGATCAGACACCATCCATTAGAATTAGATCTGTCCCGTTTCAAAGTCATACGATATAAGGCAATACTTTCTTGGATCTTTACCATGTGGAATTATTTTTACCGTAAGAAATAATAAAAACTTGATGTTGCTTAGCTTGAGAACTCGAAAAGAAGATTACAACAATGCTCTCTTATTTTTGTTCCATCTATCTCTAAAATATGAAACATGCCCGGAAGATCATTTAAACAAAAGTACAATGTCTGGAAATTTTCATTCCTAAATTTTAAATAGCAATCACTTCTCAGAAAACAATACTTTTTTCAGTATATTGCTAAATGAAACTTAAAAAGTCGAGACAAGTGAATACAGTAAAACTATTGACTAGATTTCTAATATACTTTGGATGAGTATCGAACTTTATCCAAAGGAATCAAAAATCATTTTTATGTTATCCTATAACAATTTCAAGAGTAAATCATTTTGAACTTTTTATATCGAGCTACATTTCTTTCTTTTACCTGAACACCAAGAATGCCAAAGATGATAAAGAATATGCAACAAATGATAACAATATTACCGATTGGTCTTAATGATGAAAGTAAAGTTTGAACGACAAGTTTAAGGCCGGGTGCTCGATTGATAACTAAAACGATATAATGGAAAAATCAATCAAAAGAAAAGAAAAACATCTTTTCCAACTTGTGATTGCTCGTAATGTTCGTAATAAACGAAAGACTCTTAACATGCCCAGAATATGTGATGTTGTATCCGATTCTGTGGGTAATGTAATACGACTTCGATTCATTGTACAAAGATCGACAATTGAAACAAATACAAGAAATCCATCCATAATATTCCAGCCGGTATGTAAATATGTATTCGGTCCAAAAATAAATCCATTTGCAATTATTTTGATCATCATTTCAATAGTAAAAATAGCTGTAAATATATAATTAGTGTAGTTCAAAAATTGCCGTTCCTACAAATATAATTGCAAGTGTTAGCTTTTAACTTGAAAATAAAAACAAAGTAATTTCATACAAAACTTATAGGAGAAATCGATGGACGTTCCATAGCGAATGTAATACAATTGAGAGCAATAAAGAAAAGAATAAAATAATCAAATGATTTTTGTAAAATTAATCGTTGAAATACTTTGCGTAGTCTACCAGAAGAAACGAAATCACAAATTTTTCTATTCGAATTATTCTCAGAGAAAAATTTTACCTATTCGAAGGTGAAAAAAGATAAAGTGAATAGTTTTCTCGCTTCTTTAAACATTCAAATATTCGTTGTCCACAAAGTCGACCTAAACATGACCGAATGACCTAAAATACAATAGAATTTATGTAAAGAAGAGAATGAAATAAATACATTCATTATTAATTTTGATTTTGATAAACTTTCTGGCTCAAGTCATTCAAACCCGACCGATAGATTCACTACCCCTAAAAACTTTGAACTTGAACACAATCACAAACAATTTTTCAGGTTGTTCTCCAGCGCGGATGTAAAGAGATTTGATACCTTTTCTGATTACTAACATGTACTACACGTTGTTTGATGACACTGACTGATAGAGTCACAAGAGTCAAAATTTATGCTATGAAGTAATGAAGTTAGCTGAGAAAGTAACCATAAATGAATCTTTTTTAAGGTGACTATGTACTTCGAAATGAATTTGAAATAAAAGACAATATTTACTCCTGATTTCTGAGTTGTTAATTCCAGTTGTGTATCATCCCCAGTTGACACATCTAATTGTATATCATTTTGATCGTTTACCGGTAATTGAGTATCAGCAGCAAGTTGTATAGGACTATTAGTATTAGGCTCTGTATGTCTATCACTTTTTTCTTGTCTTCTTGGTGTTTGACAAATACTTGTCGATACATTTTGATTAAATGAATATGATGAATTATCGATTGTTGATCGACGTTTAATATTTGAATTTAAACATGTATTTGGTATATTATTCAATTCTTGTTCAATTAGTTTCTCTTCATGAGCAATCAAATATCGTGTTGATGATAATGGGAATGATCGATCAGAATTTGTACGACGTATGGTATCAGCTAATGTATTTTGTCGTCGATCATTTTTCTTATCATCATTACTGAGTTCAAGACTTTTCCATTCATCGAGATTCTCAGATACTTGCATATTACCTGTGATAATGGCTTGTGTCTGAAAATAAACATTTATAAAAGGTATTACAATTTTTTTAAAATTTTATTAGTCTTACTTTAAATGGATCTGCTTTGTCTAATCTATCCGTACTATTATTACTATTTGTTGTACCATTCTCTTCCTAAATAAAATAAAATAATGACAAAATATTTAAAGAAAATGTCAATTTACTTCATTTTGAAAACTTTCAACAAGAATGGCAACAAGTAAATTGAGTAATATATAATTGCCAAATATCATAAGTGCAATAAAATATAGTGCTGACCATGGACTTGTGTTTTTCATACCATTATAAAGTACTTCATTCCAATCTTCTTGTGTTAATATCTATTTTATATCATACGAATTAGAATTATTCAAAAAGATAAATGATATGGTTAATATGAGAAATATATTTGCGCTAAGAAGAAGCAAACAATAAAGCTGAGAATAGGAAAATAGTTTTATGTGTGCAAGAATCAACAACAAAATTCTATTGATTAATATTTATTGATACCTGAAATACGGTTAATAATGCAAAACGAAGTGAATCGAAGTTTGTTCTCTCTTGTATACATTTTAAATCTTTGAGATCAGTAGAATTTTTTAATGAACTCCATTCGACACAGGCACAACAGCGACATTTTATATCAATTTGTTGATGTGATGTTATATTGAATGCTTCAAGCGTGCAAAATTCACCACCAAATAAATGCATACCAAGAACACTATTCAAATTTAGAAGAGAAAACAAAACAAAAACAAAAAGAAGTAAAATAACGTGTATATGTGTATGATGACAAAAAGTCTGCATATACCTACGGTTTATTTCAAGGAGTTGTTTGCTGTTTTCTACTTAGATATACATGAGAAATTTACAATGAAATTTATTCATTCTTAGAGTTTAGAGTAGTGAAGACGAGAGAGATAGAGAATAAAGATATTTATTTTTCTATAGACTTACCTGAAAATGAATACGAAGAGAGTTAATAATAATAAAAATGCTGCAACACTGTCTAGTGTTTTAAGCATGATAACCTAAATAACAAACGACAAAATACAGAAACAAGCGTTAAAGTATATACCCAGAAATTTGAATCGCCAGGTATTCACATACAAAAAATCTTATCCACTATTTTAGCAGCTCCATCGTAGTTCACATTTTAATCTCTGAGAGGATATGCTCAAAACTTTGCCACTTTGGCTGTGAAGATTTTTTAATTAGCTGTTGTCAAGTCTCGTAAAAGATCTTATCAAATGAATCATTGAAGACTTCGTCAGCTGCTCGCTTAGAATTAAATTCTTCATCAAACACAACAACGACAAACGTTCGACTAATAGACTATGAAAACTTCCTTTGTTCGTCTTTCGATCATTATTTTATTGACATTGAAGAAAAAAATTATCTTTTTTAAAATACGTTATCCAGGTCGAACAAAACGGTCCGTAAACGACAGTAAACGAGTAAAAAATGATATATCTCACAGCGATTCGTATGGTTACCTTATACAAACGTTCGTTTCCGACAAATTGTAGATGAACTACGGAGTGCAGTATACGATGCCATAACAATGGCCATTTACGTCCCGTTTTTGTATCATTATATAAAAACGTGTATACATAGGGTAATCAAAAAGTTCTGGCAATAAGTATTGAAAATTTATTCTTTATTGTTTTTGTCCTATGTGCTGACTTACTCTGGCAACCATACTTGTTATGGGTGAAATTGTCAATACAAGCTACCACAAGTGTCTATTATGGAGTACTGTTAGAAGATTTGTTAATCTCTTCTATTTTCAAATGAAAAACAGTACATACATTCACATCATGGAAAACGCAGGTAGCGCACAGATATTTTTCAACTTTCAACGAATGTATCTGGAGAATGATAAGAGGGAAAGATTTGTAATTTTTAAAAAATATGTAAGTAAAAAAGATTCTATAATACTTGAAAGTTTGAGCCTCAACTATCTATCTGTCTGGATTTTAGGAGTAAAATACTGATCGGTAACGCACAGACAAAAAAGGGCTTCGATTCTTAGTAGGCGCGAAAGAAATGATAAACCCTGCGAACTACTCCATGCTAATGAATTACACGGGAGAGAGTTTTGTAGCTAAAAGTCAGGGCTATCTTTTGATAAAGAGAAAATATTGATACCTTAAAAAATGCGTGCACTATTGATAAAACATTAGGTAACACACAGATATTTTGGTAACGCACCGACATGAATTTTTTTAACAAAAATCCTAGATATAAAATTTTATTTCGTATTTGGAATTATCGGTTTAGATCATCAAAGCAATGATGCTCATTTTTATTTCAAGCTGCCACTACCGTGTTTATGTCTAATAATGTGCCCGTTTTTGAAATATGACGCGAGACAAAAGAGCTTTTTCAAGCCACTTTTGCACAAAAATACTGAATTTTGACTGGTGACTACCATTTCTTCTCTTAATTATTAAAAATATTTTGCATACATCGACGCGGAATATACGAAAGCCTACGTAAAAACTTAAAATGGGTAAAATCGATTGTTTTGTGTCCGAAAATTTGAACACTCAACTTCAATCATGCGGGTTGACTGTTAGCCTTTTTTCATGGTATATAAAAACTCTTGTTATTATGTTCTACTGTTACACAAATTCACAATGAGTTGACCGCTGTTCACGAACGAGGTTATATTTCGTATGATACAGTTGCTCGATGGATTCAACGATTTTCAGATGAGCGAGATACTTTGGGAGATAATTCTCGAAGTGATCATTCAATAATCGCCATCATTTAACAAAATATTGTTACTTTTAAAGATACAATGAATACTGATTCACATATTAGTACTGATTATATAGCTACGATCTTAGATAGATCTCATAGTAGCGTATATGTCATTTTCAAAGAGCATCTTAGCTTAAGAAAGATATTTCAAGGTAGGTATTCATGAGTTCACTGAGACAAAACGAAAGTAATGTTTTGTGCCTTCATTGAACACTTACATAAGCTATTGTCAACTATCTATAATAAAAAAAATCAACATTATATTTTATTACTGTGTTCATTTGCAAGATACTAGCATGCTAGAACAAGGTACCACAATTAATTGAATAGGAGAAAGCTGACCGTAAACAGGAGTAAACTACTAGAAAATGATTTAAAATACTACCCTCGATACTAAAAATGCGATCCATATGCAGCTGCCTTCAAACATTGTTTACGACCATTTATCTCACCGTATACGGTACGAACATATACCGCCGTATTACTTCCCATGTTATAACGGGGCAATATGGCGTCATAAAGAAACATATTTTCACCATAAGCGACCAGAATCACACCGTGTGCGTACTACTTATTGCCGTAAACGTCGCTGTTACGATCTCTATTTTAACTGACCTGACTATTAAACTGTAATCTAACTCACCAGTTGTCGTCTTAATGTTGGCATAAATTGGACAAGTTTAAGTACACGTAATAATCTAAATGTACGTAAAACAGATAATCCACTATTTTTTGCTCCACACAATTCAATAAGACTAATAACAACAATTCCACCATCAAATATGTTAAATGGATTTTTAATATATTCTAAACAACCTTCAGCAATTATTTTAAATAACATCTCAATTGTAAAAAGTATTATAAAAACATAATTGCTATATTCTAATATATTTGTTAATGATTGTGGTTGTCCATGATGTTCAATAGCCATTGAAAGTGTATTTATAATAATAACTGAGAGAATAATATCATCAAAATGTTTACTAGCAACACAACGTGAAATTAATTTTTGTATTATTGTAAGACGTGAACAGCAATAACAACAAATTTCAAATTTTTGACGGAATTTTACTCTTTCTTCTTCTTCTTGATTATTGTCAGATGTATTAATAGTTTCATCTTGACAATAACAATTGCATATATCATTTATTTCTTTTTGTTGTTGTCGTTCAAATTCAAAATTTTCATTTTTCCGTCGATTCTTTTCAATCAGTGAACTATTACTTGCTGACGTTGGAGCAATTACGTCTGGACCAATGTTACAAGTAGCAGTGCCACGATCATTCGATTCTGATAATGGTGTTGGTACTAATAATGATTCAGGCTGATGATGTCGACAATTTGGTCGATGTTTTTGATTAATTAGTGGAATTGACGAAACTATATTAACATTAGATGAAGGTAATGCATTTTGTGTTAATATCTTTTTTGTTGTTGTTACTTTTCGATGGTGTCGTTGATTAACCTTTCAAAAAAACAAATATTTAATTATATTTCTTTTGTACGTACAAATATTAATCAAAACCTAATGGTTTTTGGAATTGAACAATATTTTTTCGACAGCACTATTTTTCTAAATGTACTTTGAATTCAATATAGGATATCCCCTAGTGAATTCGATTACTTTTCGAAAATCGATACCAGAGACCGAAGATGAACCAAACTATATCCAAACCACTTTTCAAAAGTTTTAAGCAAATAGAACAGAACTCGAACCCGAAAACTTCGGTTCGTTTCGGTCTTTGATTGACATCGTTGCAACAGTTTTCTAATCGAGTTGATTACTGATCCAACAGTCAATTAACTGTAGTAGAAGAGACAGGCATCGTCTAGTTAATGTTGAGAAGCTGATCAATTTCCATCACCCAGGTAACATGCAAAAAAGTGCCACTCGCAATTCCTAGTGACTCATAGTGAATTTCTGAGATGTGAAAGAATGAAATTTGATGCTATCTCTGAGGTGAAAATTTCTTCTACCCTTTATATTCTACATCTATGATCAAGAAAGATTCGGCACTGTAGACTTGTAGAAGTATAACAAATACTTAAATTCATATTGCAAAAGTATTGTTCACATAATCCGATTGAATGATCTTTAAGCGGCCGACTAGGATTTATTCTTTGAAAACTAGCATTTCGATCTTCTTCTATTATAAATTGTGAATCTGATTAGTTTTATGCATTTTTTGTCATACTTACTTTATCACGTTTTTGTTGATAGTTTTTCCAGCATATTCTAAAACGTTTACATGCACGTTTCAATAATCGTTGAAAATATTTAATTATTTCTTCCCAACAAGAACCTTGTTGATCGTTGGTTACTGTAGTTGATGAGGGGGAAAAACGTTTTTGTTCAGCTAACATTCGTTCTGTTTCACGTTTTTTTGTTATGCCAAATTGTGCAGAAATAACAACAAGACAAAGATTCATCATAACGAACGAACCAATAAGGATAAGACATACAAAATAAATCCAATCCCAAAATGAATGTGCATCTTGTATATAATACATTATACTAGCCCAACTTTCAAGAGTAGTTATCTAATTAAATAGAAAATGTGAACATAGAAATATTTAACGAATAATAAGATACGAACTTGAAAGATAGCAAGCCATGCGAAAACAATATTATCGAAACTAATTGATCCAGAAAATGGATTTTCATCAGAAATAGCGCATAATTTATAATATTGATTCCAATTAATACATCCATTTATTGCTTTTTTTGTTAATGATGAACTCAATGAACGAAAATCAAGTTCACATGTCATATTATCTTGACGAAATCGTGGAATTTCTGAACATTTTGTCATTCCACTTGATGATGGATCAGAGCAAATAAATGAATCTTGATCAGGAGGAGTATAAAAGGGTTGGAAAGGAAAATCACTGAAAAAAGAAAATAAAAAAGAAAATATTTAGTTTTCTATAAACATACTCGAATAATGGATAATTATCTATAGCTGTGGTATTCAGTTGTAAAAAACAACGATTACGTAATAATCCTTTCCATAATTGTACACCAATAACACCAAAAATAAAGAAGATAAAAAAACACAGAAGAAGTAAATTTCCAAGCATAGGTAATGTATCGAGTAGAAGCATAACAAGGATACGCATCGATGGTACACGATTAATGACACGTAATGGACGAAGTACTCGAACAGTACGAATAGCTGATAGACTTACAAGATCACCTGGTATCAACAATTCCACTAATCTAAACGTTAATAGTTAACAACTTTTCATTCTCATCTCTGCACTTTATTTTCGCTTGTAGAACCGAAATATTCATTTAAAAAAAATATCGATCTTGTCGTAAAAATTATTTTCAATGTATCAAGATGAAACATTAAAATTGAAAACTAAAAGCATATTTTAGGAAGAATTCTAAAAGACCCTTGGTAGCGTTAACTTTCAAAATGTCTCTTACTGATGTTTGGTAAAAAAAATTCAGATATTGATTGATCTCAGATGATTTCAAATACACAGAAACTCTTTTAAAGTCGTACATAAAAACTGTTCGCCACTTCCGATGATTTTCATAGTTAAATTCATCAAATCTCTGATCAATTTTGTTAAAGAAATTTTTTGTTTTCTTTGTTCAAAACAAAAGTTGATATAATCATACCCAGTAAGAACAATAAAACAATCAAGCCGATTCCATGAATCAGCAAGATAAGCTCCTTTACCAAATATTCCCATCGCTGCCATTTTTATACACATTTCAATTGTAAAAAACGCAAAAACAAAGTAATCTGTTGCTTGTAGCCAAATACAAAGTGCTGTATCGCATTTTTTCGATGACTCTATACCAGTATGATGTGCACATGGTTGATACATACCAAGTGTAATACAATTAAGCAAAATAACAAGCATGCTTATGCGTTCAAACCATGGCCATGTTATAAATTTTAAACATTGATAACGTGGCGGTGTTGTTTGCCGAAGATAATAAAAAGCTTTTTCAGCAAAACCTGGAAATGGTAATTTATTTTCATCTCTTTCTTCAAGATTACATGAATCTGGTAAATTGGATAAAATATTTGATAAACTATGTTCATTCAGAAAACGATCAGTTTCATCTGTATGTGAATCATCAATTGAAATATTAATAACTGTTGGTAATGATGTATGAAAAATGTTTTTATTTGTCATATTAATATTATTATTATTATTTGCAGCTGTCAAACGATGTTTATCCATGATTGAGTAATGGGAGTTACTACATGATCGAAATGAAATGGAAGGCAACGACGACCAGCATTGATAAGCACCTATAGATTAAGAAAACATTGTTTATATTTAACGTCAACAAACTAGATGTATGTTATCATCAATTGTTTCACATTTCATCAATTTCAAATTCAACTTTTCATTGTAGACATATTTCGACATAATGTCCATAAAATTACAAAAAATGATAGGTATATACATGGTGTCCTAAAAGTCCGAACGAGAAGTAAATTCCTATAACTCCACTATTTATCAAACGTAATCAACTAATTTTTTTGTTCAAATGATAGGTACCACCGTGAAGCTTTTATTTATACGGGCAAACTTCACAAATACTGTCCAAAATTGCCAATTTCAACTGAAATACAACAATCAGGCTTTGACAATTTCAAAAAAAATACTATGCAGCGTTTCTCTTTTGTGGCGTTAGGTTGACCGGATCTTGCGCTATCGTTTGTATGACTTTGTTTTGATATGTCATTACAAAAAAGAAGCCTAATTTTGTTAGATTCGGTACCCATAACCTCGTAAGACCAATTCACGTCTTCCAGAGCAATGATTAATGACTGAATGCATCACAAACTATAAGTTTAAAGTTATCCACGTGCACTAGACGTTTATATTTCCCATTTAGTTTACTCGCCGCTGACAACTTAGTGACAAATGATGTGGAACAATATCAAAAAAAATTTACTAATGGTTACTTTTGTCGAATGTGTTACATTTCCTAAATTTATAAGTCTTTTCCATTAGCAGATGTTTTTTTTTATTACGATCTGAAAGTAGACATGAACGTTATTTTACATCAAGTATAACAATTCAATGATTCAATTTTTGATATTAATAGTCGCAGTGATTTTTGCAAATTTAATTGAATTCCATCCCGTGAAATGATTACCTTTCGATATCATGCATGATTTCTCAGGTATATGCATGACAATCGTCAAGTCTATATTAAAAAGATTATCTGCACCTCAAATTTTCACTTATACACAAATTGAGGAAAGACTAGAAATTTTTATATATGGGAAAAACGATGAGCNCGGTTAATAGGAGGAATATATTTGCCCTAAGAAGAAGCAAACAATAAAGCTGAGAGTAGAAAAATAGTTTTATGTGTGCAAGAATGAACAACAAAATCCTATTGATCAAGATTTTATGATACCTGAAATACGGTTAATAATGCAAAACGAAGTGAATCGAAGTTTGCTCGCTCTTGTATACATGTTAAATCTTTGAGATCAGTAGAGTTTTTTAATAAATTCCATTCGACACATGTACAACAACGACATTTCATATCAATTTGTTTACGTGATGTTCTATTGAATGCTTGAAGCGTGCAAAATTCACCACCGAATAAATGCATACCAAGAACACTATTCAAATTTAGAAGAGAAAACAAAACAAAAAAGAAGTAAAATAATGTATATATGTGTATGATGACAAAAAATAAGNGGATCCTTCTCATCTTCGAACTCGACCGAGACATTGTTAAGACTGAACTGTGTAGAAAATTTCATCGCGATTGGACTCTCCTTTCGAAAGTTATCGTGTTAACGGCCGGACGGCCAGACACACTGACCGATTTTAGTAGTGTACTCACTTTTTGAGTACACAAAAAGAAGTAAAATAATGTATATATGTGTATGATGACAAAAATAAGGGCTGCATATCTACGGTTTGTTTCAAGGAGTTATTTACTGTGTTCTACTTAGATATACTTTAGAAATTTACAACGAAAAATATTCATTCCCAGAGTAGTTAAGACGAGAGAGAGAATAAAAATATTTGATTTTCTATAGACTTACCTGAAAATGAATATGAAGAGAATTAATAATAATAAAAATGCTGCAACACTGTCCAGTGTTCTAACCATGATAACCTAGATAACAAAATGACAAAAATAGTGAAACAAGGAATGAATGATATACCCAGGAATTTGAATCACCAGCTTCTCACATATAAGAAGTGTTATCCACTATTTCAGCAGCTCCATTGTGGTTCACATTTTAATCTCCTAGGGGATATGCTCAAACCTTTTTCACTTTGGTTGTGAAATTTGGCAAACGATCTTATCAAATTAATCATTAAAGACTTCGTTAGCTATCTCCGTAGAGCCAAAACCTTAATCAAACGCGACGACGACAAAACGTTCGACAAATGTACTATGAAAACTCCCCTTGGTCGTCTTTCGATCATTATTTCATTGATATTTAAGGAACAGTTATCTTTTATAAAATAAGCTACCCTGGTCGAACAAAACGATCCGTAAACGACAGTGAACGAGTAAACAACGATGTACTCACAACTGCTCGTAGGTTTATTGTATACGAACGCCTGTTTTCAACAAGTTGCAGATGAATTATGGAGTGTTTTGCGGAATCATTTACGGAGTGCTGCATACGATGATATGACAGTGACTGTTTACATCCTGTTTTGGCATCGTTATATAAAAACGTATGTACATGGGGTAGTGCCTTAGCTTAGGAAAGACGTTGCAGAATAGGTATTCATGAATATACTGACGATAAAACGACAACGATTTTTTTTAATGTCATCATTGAACACTTACACAAGCGGTTGCCAACTGTTTTTAACAAAACAAAACAAAAATTATCTTTTACTACTATGTTTACCTAGTCTTTCTCTTTCAAATGTCTAGTTATTCAGTTATTTTGAAGATGAACGTGGTCCATATTCAGATACTTCTAACTTAGCTCAAGCCGTTACCTATTTACGAATAGTAAAAGAAACGCCAGAATTGGATTGAAAGGATGAAATTTTGTATCACATATCATAGGGATTACTGCAAATGTTTAATGTAAATAGATGAGCAAAGCTTTTTTTTTCTATGAATAAGTATTAGAGAGTGACAGAACTTTTTGACTACCCTATGTAAAGGTATGCTTGCACTGTATAACACTCCAGAATTTTGGAAACCTTCACAGTCCAAACATCCCTATTATCAGAATCTGATGGAGCCACAGATTCAATTGGAAGTGAGCATCATTGTTTTCGTTTTCACGTTTATCCTGACGGGAGATCTCTTTTTTTTGTGAAAAGCTGCATGACATCTAGGATTGCTGCTGTTATCGATTATGGGCGAAGACACGTGCAGTTTTATCGTCCTTCCTTACATTATTCGTGTTCGATATTGCATCAAAGATTTTTATATTCGTCCGACAGCTTTTTCAATGTTATCATTCTCTTTGTGATTTATCATGCTCTCTATTTTGTCAAACGTTCATTTTGTGCAAAAATATAAATCAGGTGAAAAAATAGAAAATAACAAGAGGCATAGATTCCAAGGTAAACTGACCATAAGCAGAAGTAGCCTACGAGAAAATGATGTAAATACTATCGTCGATGATAAAAATACGATCCGTATACAACTACATTAAAACAACGTTTACAGCCGTTTATTTCACCATAAACGGTGCCGTTACGATCCTCGTTTTAACCGACCTGGGTATTAAACTGTAATCTAACTCACCAATTGTCGTCTTAATGTCGGCATAAATCGGATAAGTTTAAGTACACGTAGTAATCTAAATGTACGTAAAACAGATAATCCACTATTTTTTGTTCCATATAATTCAATAAAACTAATTAAAACAATTCCAGCATCAAATATATTAAATGGATTTTTAATATATTTTAAACAACCTTCAGCAATTATTTTAAATAGCATTTCTATTGTAAATAATATTACAAAAACATAATTGATATATTCTAATACATTTGTTAATGATTGTGGTTGTCCATGATATTCAATAGCCATTGAAAGCGAATTTATAATAATAGCTGAGAAAATAATGCGATCAAAATATTTACTAGCAACAAAAGATGAAATTAATTTTTGTATTATTGTAAGACGTGAATAACAACAAATTTTATTTCTTTGATGAAATTTAGATTTTTCTTCTTCTTGATTATTGTCAGATGCATTAACTATTTCATCTTGATAATAACAATGACATTCATCATGTCTTTCTATTTGTTGGTCTCGTTCAAATTCAAAGTTTTCAATTTTTTCTCGATTTTTTTCCATAAGTGAATTATTATCTGCTGACGTTGGAACAGTTACGTCTGGATAACTGTCACAAGTACCAATGTCGTGATCAATAGATTTTGATGATGACGTTGGTACTAGTAATGGTTGAGTTTGATGATGTCGACAATTTGGTCGACGTTCTTGATTAATTAGTGGAGTTAACGAGACTATATTGAGATCAGATGAAGGTAATGAATTTGGTATTAATATCTTTTTTGTTGTTTTTACTTTTCGTTGATGTCTTTGATTAACCTTTAAAAATATAATTATTTAATTTAATTTCTTTTGTACGTACAAATATTAATCAAAACCAAATGGTTTTTGGAATTGAACAATACTTTTTGGATAGCACTATTTTTCTAAATGTACTTTGAATTCAATATAGGATATATCCTAGTGAACTCGATGCCGAAAACTGCAGTTCGTTGCGGTCTTTGATGAATACCAGTCGATCGGTTTTCTAATCGATTTGATTACTGATCCAATAGTCAATCAATAGTAGTACAGAAAGATATTCTCTAGTTAATGTTGAGAAACCGATCAACTTTCATCAATCACATAGGGCGAAAAAAGAAGTGCCACTTTCAATCTCTAGTGGCTTGTCTGCAACTCATAATGGATCTCTGAGATGCGAACGAATGTAATTTGATACTATCTCTAAGGTGAAAATTTCTTCTACCCTTTATATTCTACATCTATGATCTAGAAAGATTCGGTTCTGTAGACTTGTGGAAGTATAACAAATACTTAAATTCATATTGCAAAAGTATTGTTCACATAATCCGATTGAGTTATCTTCCATTGACTGATTAGAATTTATTCTTTGAAAACTAGCATTCCAATCTTCTTCTATCCGATTTGTTTTATGCTTTCTTTGTCATATTTACTTTATCACGTTTTTGTCGATAATTTTTCCAGAATATTCTGAATGGTTTATATACACGTTTCGATAATCGTTGAAAATATTTAATTATTTCTTCCCAACAAGAACCTTGTTGATCACTTGTTGCTGTAGCTGTTGAACCTGAAAAACGTCTTTGTTCAGCTAACATTCGTTCTGTTTCACGTTTTTTTGTTGCACTAAATTGTGCAGAAATAACAACAAGACAGAGATTCATCATAACAAATGAACCAATAACAATAAGACATAGAAAATAAATCCAATCCCAAAATGAATGTGCATCTTGTATATAATACATTATACTAACCCAACTTTCGAGACTGATTATCTAATTAAATAGAAAAAGGAAACATAGAAATATTTAACGAATAGAGAAGAAAAGAACCTGAAAGATAGCAAGCCATGCTAAACCAATATTATCGAAACTAATCGATCCAGAAAATGGATTTTGATCAGAAATAGCGCATAATTGATAATATTGATTCCAATTAATACATCCATTTATTGCTTTATTTGTTAATGATGAACTCAATGAATGAAAATCAAGTTCACATGTCATATTATCTCGAGAAAATTGTGGAATTTCTGAACATTTTGTCATTCCACTTGATGATGGTTCAGAACAAATAAATGAATCTTGATCAGGAGGAATATAAAAAGATTGGAAAGGAAAATCACTTCAAAAAGAAAATAAAAAAAAAGAAATAATTAGTTTTCAATAAACATACTCGAATAATGTGTAATTATCTATAATTGTAGTATTTAGTTGTAAAAAACAACGATTACGTAATAATCCTTTCCATAATTGTACACCAATAACACCAAAGATAAAAAAGATAAAAAAGCAGAGAAGAAGTAAATTGCCAAGCATAGGTAATGTATCGAGTAAAAGCATAACAAGAATACGCATCGATGGTACACGTTTAATGACACGTAATGGACGAAGTACTCGAACTGTACGAATAGCTGACAGACTTAAATTATCACCTGGTACCAACAATTCCACGAATCTAAATGTTAATAGTTAATAACTTCTCATTTTCATCTCTACACTTTATTGTATCTTATGGATCCAAAGTATATATTTAAAAAAATTGATCTTGTCGTAAAAAAAAAATATTTTCAATGTATCAAGATGAAACATTAAAATTGGAAATTGAAAGAATATTTGGAAAAGAATTTTACAAGATCCTTGACAGGTTTTATTTTCAAAATGTGTTTTATTGATGATTGTTGAAAAAATTCAGGCGTTGAGAGCTCTTAAATGACTTCAATTAAACAGCAACTCTTTTAAAATCCTGCATAAAAAATGTTTGCCATTTTGATAATTTTCATAATTAAACTCGTCAAATCTCTGCTCAGTTTTATTAAAGAAAATTTTAGTTTTTTTTTGTTCAAAACAAAAATTGATATAATCATACCCGGCAAGAACAATAAAACAATCAAGTCGATTCCATGATTCAGCAAGATAAGTTCCTTTACCAAATATTCCCATCGCTATCATTTTAATACACATTTCAATTGTAAAAAATGCAAAAACAAAATAATCTGTTGCTTGTAGCCAAATACAACGTGCTGTATCACATTTTTTCGATGACTCTATACCAGTATGATGTGCACATGGTTGATGCATACCAAGTGTAATACAATTAAGCAAAATAACAAAAATACTTATTCGTTCAAACCATGACCATGTTATAAGTTTTAAACATTGATAACGTGGTGGTGTTGTTTGTCGAAGAGAATAAAAAGCTGTTTCAACAAAACCTGGAAATGGTAATTCATTTTCATCTCTTTCTTCAAGATTAGATGAATATGGTAAAACGGATGAAATGTTTAGTGAACCACGTTCATTAAGGAAACGATCAGTTTCATCTATATGTGAATGATCATTTGAGATATTAACAACTGTTGGTAATGATGTATGAAAAATGCTTTTATCTGTGATATTAATATTATTAGTATTATTTGTAGTTGTCAAACGATACTTATTCATGATTACGGAATGGCTGTTATTGCATGATCGAAATGGAATGGAAGGTAATGAAGACCGGTATCGATAACTACCTAGAAATTGCAAAAGCATTATTTGTATTTGGCCTTAGCAAACTAGATCTATATTATCATCAATTGTTTTACATCTCATCAATCTCAAACTTAACTAACAAGTCTATTCCATTAACAGATGTTTTTTCTATTATGATCTGAAAGTTTACATGAATGGTATTTACAACAAGTGTAATCATTACCTTTCAATATTATGCATGATTTCTCTGAAAGTACCTCGTACTAATGTATTGATGTTTATCAAATATTTAGGAAACATAATATGCATTATGGTTTTCTTAGGTGTATGCATGATCATCGTGAAGTCTATATTAAAAGAATTATCTGCGCGTCAAATTCTCACTTATGGACAAATTGAAGAAAGACTAAAAAGTTTTAAATATGTGTAAAATGATGAGCCTAACAGACTTCCAACTGTTTGACAAAAACTTGTGCTACTTGATATGTTACCAATCATATTTAATGATGTTATTAATTGTCTAACTGACTTATTCCCCATATATACTTATACACATCTTTTCATTTATTAATGCTTGATAAACTGCCAGATAATATGACTGCAAAAGTACATTTTGCTACTCATCATGTTGAACTAATACAAAGAAATGGTTCAACACGAAACTATTGGTGTCAATGGTTTGAAGGCAGGCATTTGTACTTCAAAAATTGGCTGTACAATCATCAAATTTCAAAAATATTGCATTTACATTAGCGAAGAGACACCAACATCGTCTTTCTTTATTTTAATCGTATGAAAACTTTTATAATTTAATTGATCAATCAATATCGACTAACACTTTTATACTATCACAATTACCTATGGATTTTAAACAATTACTGAGACAGCGTCACCTTGATTCATGAATATATACTGAATGTTAAACATTAATTCATAAACATGTAAAATACATAAACAATTTGGTTTTCATTATGAACTTGTTTTATGAAGAGGAAATACCAGAATTTGTTCTTCTTCGTTACATATTGAAATTAGGAAACTCGTGAAAACTCATCGTCCAGCATTGATAAACTTTGTCTTTTGATGAAACGCTGTGACTTTACGAAATCACCCATCTTGAAAAATGTATGTTTTGGTAAGTTTTAAAAAGTCATACCGCGCATAATATATTATTAGTCAAAAGTCTTTTCTTTTAAACAATATGAAAGAATTGAGACAAGCATTAGTAAAAGAAAACCAAGTTTTCTCTTTTCCTATATTAAAGAAACATATCGGTATTTTTCCCATTTGTATTATATCTAGTCTCTCTTTTAGAATGAATAAAAACTTTTACAAAAAACTGATGAACAAGCTCTAAGAAATAAAAATAAGTTTGGTAAAGGACTGTAAAGACTAGTAAAGAAAAGTGATTTGATTTCAGTGGAAAGAAAAAATGAAAAATTAGTAAGATACTTTTATTTGTGTTGTCGAATAATTTTTCATTGTTAAATATGTCACACATAAGCGTTAAAAACAGGCTTAAGTTATATCTTCACAAATATCCCATATAAAGAGTGCTTTTAAAATTCTATGTTTCCTTTTATATTCGGGACAAACTCCTACGAAGTGTAGTTGAAAAATACGAGAACAATATCATCATTATTTAGAAACATATTTAATCCTCTGAATGCAAACGATTTTGTATCGTGTATTAGAAAGAGTTTCTTTTCTTATTAATTTAGAACTTCTCCTTTCTTTACTAACTGTTATATATATATTTTTTTCAAATTCTTTTTAGTTTCAATGGACAATATAAGTATACTATCGAACTCACAAAAAGATGAGCTTTTGTCTTTTGAAAAACAATTCACGAGTGCTATCAGCAACGAAAATACTTTTGAATTAATTATTGCACTAGCTATGGAACCTGTATTAACAACTGGATCATCAAAAAATCGAAAAAAACGTGCATAAGTAAAATACCACTAAGAAACAACTAGATCTTCATTGCATACACAATCCAAAAGATTATGTTGATCCTAATTTTTCATTGTTTATATGTAAAAACATTGATTTTGTCTTTAATTCTTTCTTCTTCTTTCCTTCAGCATGTTAAAAAAGTTAACAATGTACTTAGTACACTTTATTTTCTTGCTTCATTATCTTCATGATACATGACACTATATATTATAATTTCGATAAACAAAGTTTGTCTCATGAATTCTCTTTTGTGAACTTATCATTTATGCTACACTCACATGACTAAACCATTTTCTACTCTGACTGGTTCATTTCAAAAACCAGGGGAACCAAAATCTTTATATCAAGTCAACCTGTAAATAGATTAATCTGACTGATATTAATTAAGGCGATCTTGCTCTACGTAAAGATCTGTATTCATCCTGATCAATGATGGGTTATTCCAAATAAAAACGAATATTTTATTTTTTATTATTAGCTTTCATCTTAATCATTAATGCATGGTGAGTGATATTCGTCATAAAGTCCTAATATTTTGTTTTCTCTATTTAGATCGTTGTCAGTAGTCTGTAGAAAGGGAAGTGGTTTGGGAAAAATTGATGATTTTATTGTGTATCGTTGTTTTTCTTTATTGCTGCTTTGCGAAGGATTTGTTTGGGAAAACATTCGATACAATTTATTTAATGTCATTCTGTTAAGGTATTGTTTATGTTGGAAGCATTTCACCTGATTTCGAGGCTAGTTTTGCAGGCACCAATGTGATTGTCTCTTTCTTTGTGTCGAAGATTTCTAAATCTCTGAGAATTTGTTAGATAGTATAGAACTTTCTAGCATTGAGATCTTTCTGAGTTGCAGAACTAGCTTCTACACATTTAATAATGTTTCTCAATATATATGGAGTGGACACAGAGATTCATGGCATACGGCAGCATTCTCTTTGAACTTGACTCGATAGCAGAAAACAAAATGAAAAAGTGAGTAGAGCAAAATTCCTTAAGTTTTCTTTGAATTCATATACCCAACAAAACTTTTCTAAATCCGTTCGTGATTGAAACTGTACTCCAACAATGATAAAACCAAGCAGTTCCACTATTTTCGATATGCTAGAAGAGACTCCTTTGTCGACGAAGGTACAAATGACTGTAGCTTGTCAAACAACAGCTGACAGTTCTATCTAACGATTTCTAATTATGCATTTGAAAGATTACCTTGGGAAATTGTTCTGTCAGGCTGACAAACGTTGGACATTGAGACAACTGATGATAAAAGTTCATCGGCTTTGACAAATTGCATTAAAACATTACTAGACAACGATGGTAATGATAATTGTTTTCTATTCGCTTTACCACTTGCATTCAGTGGGAATTTGTCGAGAACAATAAAATGGGATGGAACCATGTGTTTACGAAGATGATCTTTACAGTAATTTCGAATCAATTCAGTGTCCAGCTGCGACTTATCACCGATGACATAAGCTACGAGTAAATCCTCATCTTGAGATAATTTGGTGACGAGACAGCCGAAGATCTCATTTGGACAGCAGGCTATAATTGTCTTCTCCACTTCGGCTGGTTCTATTCGTTGATTATCAATTCTTATTTGAAAATCGATACGTCCAGCATGCACAAGTTCACCTTTTGCATTGTATCTAGCGAGATCACCTGTCTTGAAAAATTCTTCATTATTAATTATTATCCGGGTCCTACTGGTCAACTCAGGATTGTTGTAATAACACTGGCAAAGACCAGCACCTGTAAATATGTAGATGACAAAATTTCATAATATTTAGTAGAATACAAGAGATCAAACCTGCAAGATAAATTTGACCAATTCCCGTTGTATCCAAAGGCAAAATGACTCGTTCATCATTGCTTTCATCCACAAGTAAACATTGATATTCTGATAGTGAACAACCGATAGGCAAGATACTTAAATCTGTAAGTGCATCAATGCTTTCTTCAATTTCGCGCCCTATAGCAGCGCTTGTTTCACTCATACCAAATATTAAAAAGATGCGGATTTGCGGGAAAAAAGACTTGATTTTAGCCAGATGTTGTGTTTTAGGAGATTCGCCTGATATCCATAAGATGCGTACTCGTTCAAGTGTTTCGTTATTTTCTCTAGTGTTTAGCTCGAGATAATTAAGTAATACTTTAAGCAATGACGAGTTGATAAAGAGAATGGTAATTTGTTTGTCATTAATAGTCTTACAGAAACGGGTCATATTCAAGTTATCTTTAGATGGTAAAAGCACTAGTGAGCCTGAAGGAACTATTACAAGTGGCATCAGAATTTCAAACAAGTGAATGGCCCACGAGGACACAACTACTTGAAGAACTTTATCACCATGCTTTGTGTCCCAAATCATCAAATTATGCAGACCTGCTATAAGAGATGCATGGGTGTGCACAATTATTTTTTTTCGACCGGTTGTACCAGATGTGCAAATAATAAAACTTGGACTGTCACTCTCGACATATGTATCTGCGAAATGAATAAAACACATGAATGTGGATTTGCTCAAAAAAAAAGAATTACTTTTTTCAGCAACTTCTTCTGCGATGTCAGTTAGTAAAATATGTTCAAGATGGATCATTTCAATTTGCTTACTAATCATACTCGAGAACCTCTCTCGTGTATTTTCATGAACAAGAACACATCGACCTTGAATTTCATCAATCAATGTACGAACATACATAGGTGGATCGGTAGGACTTAACGGACAATATGCACCACCAGCACACATGATTCCCAATAGTCCACATACCATCTCTAAACTACGATCAACATATTGGTATACAATTTCACCTTTCTCGAGTTGAAGGTGATGAGCGATACAGATCACATTCATCAGTAGTTCGCCATATGTCCATGTTTGTTCATTGAGCTCGATCGCCACCTGATCTGGGGAGGCATGTGCTGCCTCGAAAAACATTTCGAGAATGTTTTTTGGCGACAATGCCATAATGAAAGCTAATTTACAATCTATAAAATATATAGGAGAGAGAGCGTTTATGCGAGACAATAGTGAAAATGAAAGATGAAGAAATTGTGTTAATGATAATAAACACTAATGAAGGAGCTAAGTACAAGGAGATCGCTCTTTCCGTTACATATTACATAGAGAATTAGTCCATCAAAATTTAAAAAGGGTAAGAGTGATCAGTATTAAGCATATAATCGGTATCTTTTCCGTCAACTGACAGTTTGATACTAATTCACGTAGTTCGTTCTTAATCGTGCAGGTATAGATGTTACTTTTCACAATTCTTTTCTTAAATCTAACTTGTGGAGAGGAGCTGTTTAATAGTGTTATGTAATAATGTAATCATCATAGAAGCGCACGTCTTTCTTTTAATCAGACACAATGTTTCAGAACAACAAATTATTATTACTTAAAAAGCATTAACATGAGACAAAACTCTGCTCAATTCCTATTTTGGCTCCTTTTGTTGTCTGAAGAGACTGAGTGCTATTGCGAAAGTTTCAATTGTCGAGTAAAAAACAAAGACAACTAACGTGCAGTCGTCCCTACTCCATTAATACTGTCAACAAAACATTTACATTAGAATGGTAGATGTGATAATAATTAAAGTGTTCATCGTACGCCGTATTCGTCTCGAAAAATGAAAAGAGACATACTTTCACTACCTCACTAAAGTGAGAATATATTGTCACATGACCTCGTCAGTTTTACACGGAGAATTATCTAGTGAGTCTGAAATTAGACTTTATTAAGCGATCCGTATTTCTATCACCCAGTCGTGCTCAACGTCACCGTAGTCCTTCCCCTGTAACAGATATTGCAATGTTGTAACTGTCCAATTCTACACCTAAGCTTTTGCGTACTCTAACTACGACTATCCCAAGCTACCAAAATAAAAAAGTGCATGTTTTCCGACAAAACCAACAGACACAATCGCTGCATAAAAAGTAGTTTTATATGAATGACTTGTGCAGCAATTTTTCGAGTTTTCATCAAAATGTCAATGAATTCAATACGTGGAATAACACAATCTTTGGACTTTTTTTTTAATGAGATTGTATTTTTGCGAAATATGACTGTAAAGGAGTTTGGATATATATACCAAGAAATTTTTCGATGTTCTGCTACTCGCATATCGTGACAGACATGTCGAAGGAGCAGCGAATATTAATTATCAGCCACTACTCGATCCAGCAGCTAATAGTGACTACACTGCTGCTCCATCAATAGTAACGGGTGTCCCAGAATAAATTATACCATTCGTATTTTGAGTATAACTCTTCTATTATCCATTAGATCGGGACATCTTTTTATACTAAAAGATAGCGCTTGAAATTCTCTACAAAATTATATATGACTAGTCCCAAAAACTGTCTTAGATATATTTGAAAAAAGATGAAAAGTAACGACATATAAAAAGCTGTAAAAAATAAATTAGNAAGCGTCTGGGTGTGGGGGTGAATGTAAAAGGGAACTTTCGCTAGAATTAAACCCACGCCCACACCCATCCGTATAATTGCTGAGAAACAGCTTCCTCAAATCTGATTGATTGATCAGCAGCCAATCAGATGTAAATAGGACTTTTCCTATATTGTGACGACAAAGCATATTGTTGTTCCGGTGCAATACAAGAGCACTCCGGTTAACCCAAAGATTGGCCCGAACAGTCTCTGTTTTGTCCTTATTATGGCGAGAAAAACCGTCTAGAAATCTGATTGGTCGATGGAATGAAGCTAGCAACCAATCAGATTTCACCATGAGCTTTTCCTTCAATTTGAAGAACACAACATAGGGCTGCTGGAGCGTATCAGGCAGCTGTCAGCGGTCCTCTTTCATATGACCCGACCAACAGTTTGCGTTGTTCTTACAATGGCCGAGAGACAGCTCCCTCAAATCTTAGTAGCTGCTAAACTATCAATTAGATTTCACTCAGTTTTTTTTCCTATGGTAGTGATAAAAAATATTGTTGTTCGGTCGATCAGGGGTCATTCGTGACCCTATTTCATATGACCGGAATAACAGTATTCTTTGTCCTCACGATAGCTGACTCGCATATTCAAAAGACAGAAGAAACGCTCACGCTGATATAACCACTCATGAGCATGAACGATATATCTCTTCCACCAACCCCAGTTCTCAAAACAAGAACTGGTCCCTAGTACCAGTTCTTAGAACTGGGAACTGTCACAGATCTAGTCCTTATCATCAAGATGTTTCATCGAAATAATGAAAAGTTGTGGCGGAAGCATATTTGCAGTCCACAGCCCTTCATACAAGCCGTTTTAGTTGTCATTGTTAAAACTTTGTAAAAATGTGTAAAATTTTTACATACAACAGTTAAACAAGATAGTAAGAAATGAAAGCTGTTTCTACTGAAGAAATATGTGAACGACGAGAGTATCATAAATTCTATTATCCATTTCTCTAAGAACTACCTTCTGTCGATATTTCATTGGACGAAAATCAATATTTTTTATGAAAGAAAAAACAACGAAATCCCAATAGACGAAAACTTGGTCGCATTTCACGGTACATTTCAAAATAGAATTCTTTTCATTGAGTAAGATTGTCCAATCTCATTTAGGTCCCTGGTGTCAATAGTGGAAATCGATCATCGATTCAAGTACGAAGATATAAAACTACAAAGCGAGATTATAAGAAAATGAAATGGCCAGAATTCAAATTTTCTACAATCTATAAAAATTGTGGATCTGTGTGAAAGTGGATGTGCTTATTACTAAACAGAAGTGACAGATTCACATCCCATATCACAAGTGTGTAAGTTTGTTATTCATATTTTTATTTATTTACAAAGAAACAAGCAGTAGCTTCATCTTTAAAAAAAGGTTTCATGCACGTCGTTTGCAGTCACTCCCATTATTTGAAGATTTCGATAATGTCTGTAGTGGTCATGTTATACAAAACCAAATTTTAGGCTTATTAAATGACCTTGGTTTATTAACGCTATTAACTAGTTTTCAAGCTGGATTTTGATAAGACACACTTTCATATTGATTATTTGCTTGAAATAAGGACACAGATTTGCCACACGTTTATTATTATTATTTTTTTCAATTGAACAAACATAAAATAAAACGAACAGATCTCTATTCAAAGTTAGATATTTTAATTTTCGATGAAAAACATTCAGAGATAACTTTTTTTTTATACAATCAGACTATGGCAAGCTCCATTTATATTTCAAGAAAAAGTACATGATGATTTTTCGTGTAACTCATAATGATATTTTTATTAGGTGATAAACGCCTACCTCTAGTAGAAGAGCCCAGGTTTTCTATCGTGTTTTATTTATTCATACAATTTTTAGTTGAAAGAGTTTTTCAAATGCTAGAAATTATGTTGACCTCATTGTTTTAAGGGTTTTCAGCTCAAAGCCCTAAAAGCTAGATAGATTTTGATGTAAATATACTAACTAAAGTTCTAATTTCGAGAGAAATTGATAAAATAAAGAGTCTTCTATTATGACTGGATCTTCTAATAGTGTTGGAAGGGAGAGGAGGTGGTGGAAGAGTTTAATAGTTTTTAAGACAATATTTAAGATAAATAAAAGCATAAGCAAGTTTTTCTAACTAAACACATAAAATCTACGAAAAAAAATATATTTGTGTACAATGCAGCGACTAAGAATAACTAAATAATGACTGAATGTATTTTGCAATATTAGCAAAAGATGAAAACTAGTAGAGAGTAATTTGTTTTGAAAATTAGTTTTTGTGTGTATTGCTTAGATATTTTCTTTTTTTCCTTGGAAAAAATCCAGTAAATTTTGAACAATTGATTCAGAAATTGTTTTCAATGCTTCTTCAGTAAGAAATGCTTGATGTGCTGTGACTATTGTATTTGGCATAGAAATTAAACGGGCTAATGTATCATCATCCATAACCTAGAATTAAAATACTAATTTAAATAAAAAACCAGAACCAAAGATATTTTCTCCTACTGTTTGACTATAATCATTGAAAAAATAATATTTATCTTTAAATTCATAAACATCCAATGCTGCACCTCGTAATTTTTTTGACTTAAGACACTCTACAAGTGCTTTAGCATCTATTAAAGGACCACGACTTGTATTAATTAACATAGCACCTTGCTTCATTTTGTTGAAAGCAGCTTTATCAATCAAATGATAAGTTGAGTTGTTTAATGGTGCATAGAGAGACACTAATCAACAAAATATGTTTATTATTCGAATTAAAATGATTTTCTTTGCTCACCAATATCACTTTTTTGAAGTAATTCATCCATTGTTACGTATTCGAAACCTTTTCTTTTCGCTGCTTCCTCATCAGGTTTAATATCATAACATAAGACTTTACAACCAAAACCCAAAAATATATTAACTGCACACATTCCAATACCACCTGTTCCAATAATGCCAACTGTTTTACCAAAAAGATCAACACCAACTAACCCGTCCAAAGTAAAATTATGTTGCTTTGTTCGAAAAAATGCATGGTGCATATTACGATTAAGTGAAAGTAAAAGAGCCACTGAATGTTCAGCGACAGCATGTGGTGAATAATGTGGTACACGACATATTTCAATGCCATAATTTTTAGCTATTTCTAACGATGAACCACGATGTCCAGCACTGCGTAGAGCAATTATTTTAACTGAAGAACAATTTTCATGTATTTTTTCGATAATATTTGGTATGCGAGCATCCTGATGAACAATACAAATGCCATCATAACCTTGAGCTTCAGTAACAGTTTCATCATTTAATTTACTTTGAAGAAACGTAAAACGTAATTTATCTTGAGCATTTAATGTTTTTAAAGCTTCTTTAAATGTTTTTTCATCATATAATTTTGAATCAAAAAACAAAATCTTTTTTTGTGTCATTTCATTTGGTGTTTTTTTTTTTCTGAAAATTAAACAATGATAAAGCTAAGAAGAAAAAAAACTAATACATAGAAAGTTGAAGCAACTCAATTCAGCAGCAGAATCATAGCTGTTTACAGATCTATTATTGCTCTGTAAGTCGATGTCAGACCGATAGTTCTCTTTTTCTTTCCTCTATGAGTAAGATTTTTCTAGTGTTCTTGCGCAGAATACGTCAGCATCGACGAGAATGATGCTATCGAGAGTAAAAGAAGAAAGAACAAAATAATAGAAGAAAAAATAATGCAGAAGAATTTCTTTTTCAAAATTCCACTAAGTCTTCTTCTAAAACGATTTTCATCTATTATATTTGTACCTATATATATATATATCAGTCTATATTTTTTTAATTATTATTTATTTTTACTTAAGGGTGTGGGAGAGTGGGGTGTGGATATCGACATCTTCACCATGTTTATCTTTCATGTCAACAATAATACTTTTTCTTTCCTGCCAATACAGATTGAAAAGAACAAAACACATTTGATGAGTTGATAAAAAAGATGAGTTAGAAGAAAAAGCAATTTGTTGAACATTTGTAAAGTCTGATAAAGACTTAAGATCAATAATATCGTTTATATTTAATTAACGAGAAATAGTCATATTGCATTGCATTTGATTTATTTAATTATCACTAAAAAGTTTGTAAATACTTTTTCTAAACAAAAAATATAATTGGTGTGTTAACGCCCTGTTTTTCTGGAAGAGAAAGAAACAACGAACAGACAAAAAAATGCATTAATATTTTTCTGGCTACTTACGACATCTTTTCTAGTGCATTTTTCTTGCTTCCCATGCCAATATGATACACTCGCGTACAATCGGCAACAGCGTGAAAAATTAGGTAGAAAAATAAAAGTCAGATTCTTCGGTGGTTTGAATAATATAGAGAACATCTTGGTTCATGGCCAATTACATGAAGCAAAAGAAGGCAGGGCAGTGGACTAACAAATTGCATACGTTCTGAAAGTGAAGCATCTATTCTATTGATTCGTAAAATTTTTAAGAAAATGTTTCAGTTGAAAAACCATTCTTTCTGCATTAAAGATTAATTCTTTTCTATATGATGCGTCTACTATGCATGTATGAATACTTCTGAACTGAGATATGGTTTTTCAATTTCAACTGATTTTGGAACAAATCGATTTTCACCAAAAGTTCAACTTTCGGTAAAAATCCTCTCGTACAGTCGCAGATTTCTATCAAGTACGCGAATATGACTTATTTTCAATTAAACACGGATTTTTTCAGAGAAATATATATTCCCAGTACTTAACAAAAAGCCATGATGCGAAAAAAAGTGAAATTTATAAAAGAAATTTTTACATGAAAAATACATAAGGTAACCTTTATCGTAACTTTTTGTTGGAAAAGTTGTCAAATGTTTCATTATTCGATGCAGTTTTCCATACTATTTTTCTCTTAAAGTGCCCTGGAGCAAAAGAACGCAGAAAACGGGTACCTTGATTCAGAAGTATTTGTGTATCTTTATGCTAACTGAGCAGACTGGTGCAGGCGTGGGCATGGGCCTAGATGAAGAGAAGACTGTAATATTCACATCCGCATCCACATCCTGATCAACGAAAATGACTACTCAAATCGAGCGGTTTTTATGAAAGTTATATAATTCATATGCATTTATTTATCATCCGCTATTACAGATGTGGATTACTATCGTCAAGTATGCACCATTTGTGATTCAACTGCTAATATCTAATGAGAGAACGTGTATTTTCCTGAAAATAGACACCAATGAGTCAAATTTGAGAATTTCCATCACCCCACTATTGCATCAAGTTCTCGAACACTCACTCTTAAAAGAGAAAACTTCTTGTTCTAGAATAAAGTTTATTAATATTTTCGTAATTTTCACTTCAATTTTAAGCAAGATATATCGATAATTATTGTTTGATGTGACGGAAATTCTTGTCGCCATAGAGGTAGCAATTGATAGAATGAATATTGAAAAAAGTCCCAAAAGTGGCAAAAGAGACAATTTCATCATGCAATAAACAGCAAAAGTTGCAACTTCATCATGTTGAAAAAATCAATCATTGTTTTAAATGTTAAATCATCAAAAATGCATAAAATCACCGTGAACTTTCGACTAGAGATTTCAAACGGACGGACAATGAAAAAAAAATGACAACTCAAAACTAAACATTCTCACGAAATAAATAATATTTATCAAAAAAAATTACTCTTTTACATTATGGAGAATATTTTGAAAAGAAAGAAATCAAATTACAAGAATGCAATAAGAAGAAAACTCGAGTGTGGGTATGGAGATAGATAACACAGATATTGACCCATAACAACATTCACACCCACAACCTTTTTTTTGTCAATCTTTGTCTCTTCCATACGATGTGTCATCCGACCAAAAAAACGATAAATAAATAATAGACTATTGTTTCGATTGTATTATTTACTATAAATCAAGAGTCTGTAGGTAAAGACGATATCGGTATTGTTTGTCCCTGAATAGCAATAGTATACGCATTTTTGAAGCCAAGAACACAAGAATTCGAGAGAAAGTATGATAGTGATGAGAGTAAGATCAAATTTAAAATGTAGCAGTCATAGAAAATGTTCTCTTACTTACTGGCTGATGTATTATTTCTGCCGTTGAATGCAACCGATTCAAAACACAAAATCGAGGTAGCACATAAACAAGCTCCATTATTTTAGAATTTGCATGTATAGATGAGCGAAGCATTAATAGGATGGCTTGCGAAGCTCAACAATACATTTGTTCTCATCAAGGTTATTAAACTTTTTTCCTTGAGTACTTGCTCGAAATATTTGTAAGGGGCAATAAAATTGAGTTTAAATTGATTGTTTGCTAGTTCGAGTATCTGATCAACGTGTGATGGAAATAGAATCTGAAATATTAATTCAGTAGATATGAATGAATTTTGCCGAAACTGCTCTACAATTTAAATTATTCATCATTGTTCGTATACAGCTATCCTATTCCTATAAATATGACGGAAAGACAGAAAAAAAGTTTCATATGAAGTATTAATTATGATTCATATTGATTTGTCTTATAACTACGCAGAAATAGAAACAAAAATTTTATTTTAATCATGATTTATAAATCAGACGGTATTTTTACAGCAGATATCAGACCACGTTATGACACATGGACATAAATTTCTTTTCACTGTGATGTCATCGAGTCTATCATATTTGTATTTGATATCTGGAGTAACGATTTGAATATAAGATGATAGTGCTTACATATGACGCGTAACAATGAGATTTTCCCATAAACTTTGAGTAAATTACATGAACATTATTTCTGCAATAATATCATAAAGACTCTATTGAACGTCCAATGAGTCTATATATATATTGTTAGCATTTGCTCTTAATATTTCAAAAAAAAAAGCAAGTGGAACATTTTTCTATATTCTTTTATCAATTAATATTTTGCTTTTTTCGTCTCAATTTCTTTTTATGCTTCAACAAAAAGGACATGCATATATTAAGAATTCAGATAACACTGAGAAACTCTAAAACTGTAGTGAAAACAACGATTTGAAAGCTTACACGGCATGCGATAGTAAAAAAACTACTGAAGTAATAACTATCTACTCAAGTATTGAACGAAAACGACAAGAACAAATTACTAAGGCATTGAGAATCATGTGCCTCAATATCATATTGATAAAGATACCACATGTTACTGTTCATCGGATAATTTTTCGAGTTAAAACATATCAAGGTCAGCTAGTATAAAAGTTGATACCTGATATTACTTTCTAAGAACATAATTCGAGTTCCAAAATGTCCAGCACACATCTACGTATGTTTTTATTTTAGATAAATATGAATATATGATTAAAGGAAAAAATGAATGCACGATTCAGAACGATTACAAATCATAGTCGTGCTATAACGCATATCACATACTGCTGAGATCTTTCATTGAGCATGAATTATATTCAGCTATTTTTCACTTTAAAGAAGCTGAGCATTTTTCATATTTATATTATAGTACAATAATCTCCTCGGCTTCACATGTTTATTAGCGATATCATAGCCTTCTCAACCGCATTCGCCTATTCTTAATGAAGATTGTGTTTGTTCGAAAGAAATTTTCGCTGAACAAATTAAATCATCATCAAATGATGATTCTTAATCTATTGCTATGAATAAACAACGTTTATAATAATATAAATTATTTCCAAAAATATTACGAAGTAATAGGTATCATTATTCTAGGAGTTTGAAGATTTCAATTTATCAGATATTTATGCCAACAATTATACTAATTATGTTCGTCAAGTATTTTGTATACTATATAAATGTAATGAATTATGTTTATTGATATTATCGCTATGATTTACTCATTGTGCTCGTGAGACACTTGACAAAGAAAGATTTGAATTGTTCAATGGTAGGTTTACTTCTGACAAACCGACTTATGTTAAATATAGAAAGCAATCAAAATGTTGTGGTCCTGCTTCTTTTTGAACATGATTATCCGCTCATTTTTTTCTTGTAAATTAAATAACCATATTTTTTGTTACTTTTATTCTTTTTACATGCTCTTCAAAATAAATATCGTATTGGACAAGCAAGTACGATGAATTTTTCAAAGTTTGCTTACATCGTAACCTAATTGATATTGAATGTGGAGAACGAAAACGACAATCAACTAATGAGCTGCCTGTAAAAAACAATACAGAAGTTTTCTTTTACTCTTGTGAAAAAGAAGGAAAACAATTAATTGCAAATGGTGCTATACATTCTTTTTCATTTGCTTTGTTTTTCTATTTTATTAAAAAATTTTCACAACACAAAAGAAACTTTCGTTTAAAACATCATAGATTATTCAAATCTAAATCAATTTTGAGGCATGAATTGTGACTAAGTTGACATGCAAAATTATAACAAGTTTCTTAGTGCACTCTGGACTTTTATTACAGTGACAATCGAAATATAATCGA